CGTGTGCTCTTCCGATCTAAAAGATCATGCATATGCATTGTTGTTCAATGTATCGCGTATATATGTATGTCTAAACAAAGAACAGACTTTTAGTTCTCTTTTCGTGCCTTCTTTTTTCTGAAAAAACAAACAAAGTTTAAGAGACAAAGCGTATGATATAAGAAATGTAAATTTGACAAGGAAAATTGTTATTTCATCGGTTCTCGTTATTAAATTGTTGGCTTGTAATTTATCGCTATTTTATTTATGACGTGACTGAATTGTCATTGTTGCCTGTCATTTGTCATAACTTTTAACGTTTGTTAAAACTTTAGAACATTGGATTATAGCGTAAATGGCTCAATCCGTGAATCAAACGATATGGCTAGCAAGCAAGGAGGAAAATCAGCAGATGATGGCAATATGGCCTGACATTGTCCGTGATATCATGAAAGGGATCGAAGATAAGAATTTAAAAGTTCCAGGTGTTGCTAAATGGACGGAAAAAGTAAGTCACTATTAATTAAAATACTAACATAATAGCTAACGTAGAATATAAAAGATGATATAATCAAAATTCAACGGATTAATTGATCAATTCATCTTGAAATAAATTCTTTCAGAATAAATAATGTCAAGTCAAATTTCATAAATATAACGGTTAATATAAAAATTTTAAATAAGAATTTATTCTCTCTCTCTCTCTCTCTCTCATGATGATAGTGTTCGTAAAAATATATTATCTCCCCTCAAAATTTAAAGATAACTTAAAAAAAGTGTCTAAATAAATAGAACTAACCAGATTTTATCTAGAAAATAAAAAAATTATCGAGTGTTTTACTAACATAGTTAAACAACTTATGATAATGAAATATGAGGCAGTAAGTTATAAATTTAAACAAATATGCAGATTAATGCATCCTTCTTATCTAATATCTTTTACACAGGTACTACAATACAATGTTCCAGGAGGAAAAAAACTACGCGCTTTCACGTTAATTTATGCCTACAAGCTGCTAGTACCAAGTGAACAACTTACAGAAGAAAACGTACGTCTAGTACGGATCTTAGCATGGTGTGTGGAACTGGTACGTAAATTCCATTCTTCTTTTCTATAATATATGACACTGATATTTTAGACTAATTCGAATTAATCAAACACATAATGTAACGTTTTAATTTATATTATCTTTAAATTAAAAATAACATAATAAGTTATTTTAATTCAAAAATAAATGAAAATAATTAATATTGTTACAGTTGCAAGCCTATTTGCTCATGACCGACGATTTACTGGACCAATCATCACTTCGCCGAGGCCAACCATGTTGGCATCGATGCAACGGTCTAGGTTTAGCGGCAATCAACGACAGTTTAATATTACAGTGCGCAATGTTTTATTTAATTAGAAAGTACTTCAAAGGAAAAGACTGCTATGTTAATCTATTAGAAACGTTCCATGATGTGAGCGAAAATATCTTTCTTCCGATTATACATTATGTAAACGCTGTAAGCTCCTCTCCATTTCTTTTTTAATCGAACAATTATGTATGAAAGTATTTCGACAAATCACAATGGAGACTGTGATGGGGAAATGCTTCGAGGGTCTCACTATTAATTTCGGCAAGAAGCCCAATCTGGATCTGTTTACGATGAATCAATATAATGCCATTGTCGAGTACAAATCGTTGCATATATGTTTCTTCTGCCAATAACCGCGGCAATGCAGTTAGTATGTTCATCTCAATTTTCGTATTATAAAACAAAAAATTCCTATAAGATTCCCGATATTAATTCTTATTAATATTAATATTAATTTCTTATATATTATTTTTATCATTATTATATGTTATCTTATATATATATATATTAATTTTTTATTATATTTCTACGAAAAAATTGATTTGCTTTGATGATAACGATAAATTGCGATACGTTATTTGATGTAGGCCGGAATAAAGGATCCCGAGATGTTCAGTCAAGCGGAAACCATCTTGCTAAAGATAGGGCACTTGTGTCAAGTCCAATACGATTATTTGATTTGCTTCGGGGATCCCAATGTATTTGGCAAAAATCATACTGACATAGAGGACGGAAAGTGTACGTGGCTGATTGTTATAGCTCTACAACGTGCAACTCCGAAACAGCGTAAAATTTTGGAAGTGGGTATCGTTGATTTTTAGAAGTATTGTTTCATTAAACGCTGTTGTATTAATTATTCCTCTTTTGTCACTATACAGGACTGTTACGGAGTTTCGGACCGAGAAAAAATAAAGCGGGTGAAAGAGCTCTTCATCGAGCTGGGTGTGCCGGACGCTTATTCCACGTATGAAAGAAACGCGTACAATCTAATAAGTGCTAATATACAGCAGATATCATGCAATCTTCCACATAAGCTATTCCAGGGTCTGTTAGATAAAATTTACCGCAGAACATCGTAGAAATATTTGAGAAACAAACAATAAAATTATAATTACTGAATAAATTTTGTTCTGGTAATGGTAATATTGTTAAATGTTATTTCAATGTGAAAAATTTTTTGGAAACAAATTTTATGTATATCATTTATAGTATATATAATAAAAAATTCTGTAAATTATTAAAATTATTGTATTTTACTGGAATAATTTTCTTTTACTGCATAAAAAATTTTACATTTTATACAAACTTCGGGAAATGAATCTTTTTGGAAAAATCTTTAATCGTCAGAATGTTCTACGTTGTACTATAATTTTTTTACGAATTTATGCAAAATGCTCACGTGTACAGCAAATCTATTAAAAAGTTATTGTTTGTTTTACTGTTTATACATAAATACAAAAAATTTTTTACACATGGAATATAATATCCATCCAGAATAATATTACAATTTGTATTTATTATTACATTTTTACAAATATAGATAGTCAAAGACAATAGAAAAATATTATTGGGATTTTTTAATTTTTCTTTTCTTACCGTACGGCTGATGTCTCCTCTCGTTATTACGAATTTTCATACGTACAATTGTTTTCAATTCGCGTCTTAAATCGTTAAGTTTATCATTTGAAGCAGCTTCTGTACTGAAGAATTTTACAGCCTCTGAAAAAAATGTACATCTTCATGATAGCTGATACAGATAGACAAATAATACTTTAATAATAATTTTTTAATATACATACCATTAAATCTTACATCATTGCTGTCAAAAAATAGAGTATCTTTATGGCCAAACAGGCTATTCTGTTGAATATCTTCTTCAGTCTCGTCAACCATTTGATTATCTATATGATTATCTGCTACTTCACGTGTATCTTCATTATCAGATGAATCATATTTAAATACGTTATTTGCATTAAAATTAAATTTAAATTTTTGGGCTCTATTATTTTCCACAGTGGATGTATCACTATCCTTGACATTTTCTGAAAATATAAATAATTCGAAAAATCACTCAATGAAATGATATAATAAAGATATAAATGTGATATTTTCTTAACAAACACCTGTGTCATCTCTTTCCTTCCCATATGCTTTCAATAAACTAAATTCCCCTTTCTGCTTCAAGCTTTCCGTCAAGGTATCAGATACAGCATAATAAATATCCTTTGATACTTCTGGTTCTGCAGGCGCAGGCTCCTCAGTTTCTGGCAAAGACTTATTACGTTTCTTTTTTTTAGTACTTTTCTCCTTGATCTCCGGTCGTGCAGTTTTCACCTCGTACTCGCAGTGTCCATTTTCAGTTGGATCATATCGTACCATCAATTCCTTTCTGCAAAAACCTCATCATTAAATCCAAAGTAACAATTGCAAGTTGTTTACGTGCATCCAGATATTCTTACTTGGTGGGTTTTGCTTCTTGATTTTTTGTGGTAAGTGGTGTTCCTAAGATACTTTCTAAGATATCCAATTGTTTTTCCTTCTCCTTCTGCAAATTGCACTCATCGATGCCTTCAACAACTTTACTTTCCTCCGTCTGACGACTGTCTTCTACAAAACGATCATCTAGGGTAAAACGTGCGTCATTGCCAAGAGTGGTCTGTAGAAGAAATAAATTGTGTTAATACTATTATCTTAAGAGAAATAAAACAAAGAGTATCACACGCTTACCTTTTTACTTTTGTTGACTTTAAATTCATCTTCATTCCATAGAGAATCCTTTTCATTGCCGTTGTCATCGTCACTGTCAAACAGATCTCTCTTTTTCTTTGGCTTCGGATCTTGCTCGTCAATGTCATCAAATATAATTTTCTTATTATTTGTAGTATTATTCTGAGACAATGATAATCGTATAAATAAACAATTTATATATATAAAATCATAATGAATTAAACATAGTAAGTAAACTTACCAAGTTACTTAACGCTTGCTGTATAATTTGTCCCTTTGCTTTAAACGCTCGTTTCCTCTCCTTCAAGGCTCGCAAACGTTTCTTCTCGGATTCGGAAATTACACTCATTTTTAAGACTGTTCAAGAATCAAGAAAAAAAAAAACGAAAAATCAACAATAACAGGACTGCATCACAATATAACCTTAATCATCATCGAAGAAATGCTAATTTTTCAGAATATAGACTTAACTTACAAATTAAAAAGTGTTCCTACGTGTTTTTGTTAGTAAAATATAAAAATAATAATTAAAATCGTTGCTCGATATAAAAAAAATATTATTTTAATGATTTGAAATACTCAAATACACGCAAATGCAGCGTGCACGCACCAGAACGATCTTAGCGCCGTCTGTTTTTGAAAAAGACGAACGAAAAACTGTCACGTGATAAGTAGTAGAAATTAAATTGCGCCAAATTTAAGCGATTTAAACCGACGTGCGTGCGTATGCATGATTTCTAAAAATGTGTATATTATAAATAAAATATGTCGTAAATGATGCAAGAAATTCTTATCTTTAGATTATAGTAACAGTAAACAAGTAACATATGAAATCTAGACGTTTTTGTTTTGAGAACTTGACTTTGGTCTGGATAATTATTACTATTCAGTTTTGCATTCATATTTATAATCAATCACAGGTCAAATTATTAAAAGACAGAGTTTTAGATTTAGTTATTCTTGTATTCTGCATTCAGATGGTGACATTAAGGTCAATTCTTCGGCGTTTAATTCGGAATCCTTATGTCGCGAATTCGAATATGAATTATGATCTTCGCAACTCGGCTTTCTCATTTCCGTTGCTTTCTTCACAGTGTTATTGATCGGACATTCAGGATCTTTATTGGATAGAGCATTGTCTGAAAAAGCATTCATTAGATTACATTACTCGATTGTCATTTTATAATAATTTAATCATTTATCTCTTAATTATCGTAATGTCAAACGTTTTGTACCGTGAAAAACATCTGCGATGCTCTCTTTTTTTTCGATCAGACGAAGGTACTCATTATCGGCGAGAATGTTGTATCTTTCCAAGACATCGGAATTAAGTTGCAACAGCCAGAATTGGTTTCTTTCATGGTTTAGTCTTCTTGATAGCATTTCAATACCCTGTTGTGTAAAAATCACATATAGTTCGAACAAAAGATATTGTCATTTACGAATCGACAGAAAGAAATTATATTCATCAATTTTGGCGAATGTTAGACATACCTTGATCGAAGTGTAATCAAGACTGGTGAATGGCTTACAATTCATGATCAACGGGACGTTGTTTGTAGCTAAACTCATGACTTTGTCGCAGAAGGAAGCTACTGTGGGATAATGGAGACAGGTATCGGGTTTTAGCATTATGTATCTATTTCCCAGATGAGTCTGGAAAAGAATAAATGATTTTAACAGTCTCATTCGCGTTTACGCAATATAATATATTAATATAATATAATATATAAATTATTAATAATTTATATATAATTTAAATTTTATATAAATTATATATAAATATACAATATTCTATAATTGCGTTTATATATACTTTGCAGTCGACTGTGTGAAGCGTCAGTCTCGAGGACAGTCGGATGAAAAGGATCAAGTTGAAGAGGATACCGAGAAGCAGTCCGATCTCGATGCCGATAAGAGTGGAGACCACAAAGGTCCCTATCGCCGCAATCGCATCCAATTCTGCAAGAAAAGAAATATATAATACGTTATGTAAGTCTGTTGCTTCATCACTCCCGTCTGATCTGTGTATACACACGCGCAATGAAACACGCAATACTGACTGCTTCCTTTCCAGAGTAATTTTATGATCTTCAGGTCAATCATGAATAAGACGGCGCTTATCAGCACCGCCGCTAGCGTCGCGCGTGGAATGTAATAAAAATAGGGCGTCAAGAAGCTCAGCGCCAGCAATGCCATAATACCTGTAAAACGCAATGTCATTCTATTACTTTTTTTGTCACATCTTCTTTTTACATGTTGTACGTGCGTCGCACGTGCGCCTCGTATCTTTATACAATGCTGTCATGCTGCATATTACATGCTGTCGTGCCGAGATTAGAATCGTAAATTTCTTTAATTATGCATGAGATATTAAGAGCGTTATGGTATAATAATAAATTATAATGAAATATAGTAAATTTTTTGGCAGGCTTCTATTCAACGTCGCATTATCTCTCATACCTTGCGTACGAAATGAATTAAGGCATTTTGTGAATTGAATTGAATTAATGTCATTAGATTCTTTATTACCAGAATATAAACCGGCCAGAGGTGTTTGTATTCCGCTGGCACTGCTGACTGCGCTTCGCGTAAACGCACCAGCGGTTGGAAGCGACGACACGAAGCTGCCGCATATGTTGCTGAGACCGAGAACCAGCATTTCCTGTGTCGCGTTAACATTGGCGCCCATAACTACAAGAAAAATCTATTATAAGGTCATCTACTCGCTTAGCAAAATATTCGACCGAGGATTCTAATCTGTAGAAGATCATAAGGAAGCAGAATATTCGGGATATAATTCTGATATATTTCTGATAAATATTTTATCAGAACAAGTTTTTCGTTTTTTATTCTTATTATTTTGCACGATAAATCGTAAGAAATAAATCCTCAAAATTAAAGATATATGTATATATCATATATATTTTTTGATGAGATAAAATTAATTGAATTCGAATTCAAAACTAATGGAATAAGATTTTGTTAAATATAATAAAATAATTTTGTTTTATTAATTGTGATTATAGGGACAATCTGTTTCTAACTCAAAAGTAAAATTATTGAAAGAATTATAGAAATCGATACCAAACGCTTTGGCTATTGCCACGTTCGCCAAGACGGATACAATAGGAAGTATCCCTAGCCCTAATCCGTAATGAGTGCACATGTCGAGGAACGTGTAAGTTCGATTTCCTACTTGCGATGAAAAGGGCGGTAACGCTACTCTGGGAAGGCCGGATTCGATTTTTCCTGCAAGATTAAGATTTTGACGTAACGCCCTATGAAAGTACGAAAGATAAACATTATACAGAGTACATTTTTTAAATAAAACCGTTTAAAAATTATTTTTTTAAATATATAAGTTTAAATTGCTTAATAAGAAAATAATGTATTTAAAAGTCGATATAAATGATCAGTTTTTAATAATTTTACAATGAATACTAAATATAGATTAATCTGTGCTTCATTTTATAGTAGCTTACAAAAATTATGATATCGTTTATTTAAATAACACGAATCGACTACCAAATATCAATAATGATAATTATATACAAGGTCCATACCTGAGAGCTTAAAAGGAACAGATCCTGTATTCACTTCGAATTGATACGCTATCGTGGATGTTATAAGCACAACGAGAGCATTTCTACCAATGGAGAAGTACCAAAATATCCTTTTTACCATTGCATTTCTGGAAGCGTATCTCTCGTTTCTTGTGCAAGGATAGTCGATGTCTTTCAGTTTCTAGAGACAGAATCTGTATAATACTTCTACGATTGTTATAAACTGTTATCGCTTATAATCCCGGTACTCACTCTGAAGATTAAGAGAAATATGAGACTGAAAACCCCGAGTGAGAAATCGGCCAGCTGGACGTTATTAATATTTTTAAATATTTTGTACAAGTTGTCCGCGATATTTTCTGACTTGTGTTTCAATCCCAGAAAACCCTGCAGCTGAGCGATTATTATAATGAGCGCTCCCGCTGACATAAAACCCGATGTGACCGGGATCGATATGAAATCCACCATGAATCCTGTAGGAAGAATCGCATCGATATACTTAGTTATAAACAATGCGATAAAAAATATGAAACATGGCAAAACGTAAGAGAAGATAATTGATTGAAATTTAATCGATTAGATAATTTTGGAATACAAGCCTAGATGTAGTACGCCCATTAAAAATTCTACGCATCCAGCCAGGAAACAAAAGAGTATTACGAAATCCTGCGGCATGTCTCGCGTGTACTGCAACGTTAGAAGGGACATCAAGGACGATGGCCCAATCGAGACTTCTTTGACAGTTCCGAAGATAATGTACAGGAAACCGCCCACAAAACAAGAGTATAGACCATACTGTAAGCATTACTTGTTATACAATATCTTTAAGAACATAGAGAGATATACATCATAATATTAGTAAAATAGTATTTTAAAAAAATCTTAAAACAATCAATCTGGCATTTAAAAAGATAACAAGATTCGAGAGTGCTTTTTTTTTTAAGCGCAATGATCATGATAGATTTGGATTTAAAGAAATATATGTATGTACATGAGAAATACCCACGTTTATAATAGTTACAGAGTTATAATAGTAACAGATATTAACTTGTTTATGCTTATTGTTTTAATCAAGATAAGAAGTGGAAACGGCAAACGAGCTATAATACCTGCGGAATCCGTTCAGCCAGTACCGCATAGGCCATACTCTGAGGTATCATAGTCAGGCCCAGAGTGATGCCCGCTATGAGGTCCGACACGGCTTTCAACCGGGTGTATCGCGGTAGCCACTCGAGCACCGGCAGGTACTTGGTCACTGTCGTGAAGCGCGGCTTCCGTTCCATAATCGGCGGGCACTCCTCGTCGGACATCCTCGCCGACGAGACACAAGCAAGAAACTAACGAGATTCGGGACTCGCGGTTTCGCAAGCCATGTCGACTGTGCTATTCGGTATGTGTTATCAGTATCATTGCCATTTTATTTTTATCGTTTTTAATTAGGTAAAACAAGGACGAAACAATTCAGTCGACACTTCGATAGCACGCTTTCCGAACACAGCCCGCGTCGTCTATCCCTAAAAGCTGTAAAAATTCTCACGAGATCTCAATTAATTGCGCCGATTAAGTGTCGCCGGTGTTATGAGCGCTGTTGACAATTTGATAAAGACCCCACGTGCAATCGGGTGCCAGGTACCTTGATGTGGGATTAATAACAGCTGTCTCTACAGCTACTAGTCGCCAGTTCTATCTCTACTTTATTTACGATGACGCAAGATTCGGCGGTAGGTTGATCCCTCGTTCTTTTTTAATGCGCGTCTCCTGGAAATCGACGGGGAAAGTAATCGACATTACAGAGAAAGTCGTCTTTGTTGCCAAAATTTTATTTCGCATCGACGAAAAGCGTCGTACGAAGAACGGACGTATAATCGGTAGAGCGCGACAACGGCGTGTCGCTTACGTGCGTAAGCGACACACCGTTACTACACCGATACAGCTAATTTGGAGATTTCGTCGAAATCTTCTAACGCTACCAGTCAGAATTTTTTAAATCGGGAGATAGTGGCGCACATGGCGGGCGCGTAATCGCGCCACACGCGTTTCATTCCTATCTTTCACCGCTTCGCGTAGAACGGCAAGGTGTCGCGTAAAATCGTGTTACTCTTTAATTATCTACAAAAAGAAAAGGTGTCGAATAAAAAAGTGTAAAGTGAAGTTAAAGAAACGCTGCGGCGTCTCACGCAATCTAATAATAATAATATACGTACAATAATATTAAAATGACAACAATAATTAATCTTCATAAATAATAATATATAATAATAATATTAAATATGACTCGATAGAATTTCTAAAAATCCATTTTAAACATAATGGAAGCGTGTCCGGTTTTATCTCACACTTGTAAACACGACATTTTCGCAGATGGTCGACATTTAGCGTAGCTTCTTGTTAACTTGTTCGATCTGCTCGTCAATCCTCTGAGAGGTACCCCTGAATTTGTTCGGTTCGGGTCCGATCATCTGTATGAGCTGCGGCACCTCTTGGCCGCTGATCTGCGTGAAGCGGGCCAGCGACTTCATGCACGTGTACAGCTGCTCCTCCGCGGGACTGCCGTTGAAATATTGCAGCAACGCCATCGTCAGCTCCACTGCGACGTCGTCGAACACCTACGGTTCACACATTACGGGCATTTCAAAAATTACGTGTCTCACTTGCGCGAATTAAAAAAAAAAGATGAATGAAGATACGATTGCACGACGCGACGTTAAGCTAACGATTGTCAAGTTGCAATATAAATTGCGCTCGCGAAAAATTTGGAAGCTTCGTGTTCATTTCAAAGTTAATTTAATCGAATTAAATTAATTTGTTTTTTCAAGTAAAAAACAATTACAGTTTCTCTTTTTTTTACAGAACGTGTAATGTTACATTAGATTTAGGATTAAGCTTGGGAGCACCGCTGTTACGTGAGCTCTCTGTAATTCTCTGGAGTTTTAGTAATCGTTAGCATATACACGATATTATCGAACACTCACGTGAGAAATTAGTCGCGCACATCGCGTTACATATTAATACACGTGTACTCGATGGCACGCAGAATCACCGATAAGAGTTGACGACTTACCGCAGCGCACGGTTCGATCTAACATGGATTTGGATAGGTACCTTAGAAATGCTGCCTTTCGGTAAAAGTCGCCGCAGATTTTTGCTTTTGTTCATTTTCTGAAAAAACAGCAATCCGATTTCTGGAAAGGTATCCGTCACACGCAGCGCTATTAGAGAGCTTGAGTGCGCGCATGCAAACGAGCATCGAGAGTGAGTCATGTATCCTTTGAGCCGTTCTTTTTTTTTTTTTTTTATTAATGGCAAGTACGTGTTCTCTTTCATGTCCTTTTCGTTGCTCGTTCGTGGAATCGGGTTACCAGGCGAGACGTATCCACGTATCGACGATCGCGTTTAGCATTGACAGCGATTTACAGAGCTAATACTTCTTTTATTTTCTATTAAATAAAGGCAGCACTTCTTTCTCAGGGCACAGTGCGAGGCTTGTTCTCTTGCGACATCGGCGAGCACGCATTCCGAAAGCGGCATTACAAATGAAAATCGCGCATCGAAGGACTTTTAACACAAATTCGCGTACGTTCCTTCCTCTACAATCCTATTTGAAACACGTAAAACAAACAAAATCTACAATGTGAAAAACTACCGTATTACGCAGAAAAGGATCTATATCTTAAAACAAATAATTGTAGAATTGTAATCTTCGATAAGATGTGTATGCCTTCGATACGCGAAGAGCTTGCGACGATGAGTTGCGAAAATGAAAGCAAAAATCGGTGATGAGTGAAAATGTTAATTGGAACGGGAAGGATACAGACCACAGTTTTTACCTCCTTGCAGGCAAGGTTGTGGATGATGGCCGCACCGCGGATCTGCAGGTCTTCCGAATTTGAGAGCAGCGAGTGCACCGCAACCTTGGTCGTCACCCTTATGTTGCTAATATTGCTGCTGATGTTCTGATCCTGATGCTGCCACTCTGATATGTAGAGCAGCCATTCCGAGCTACTGAGATTCTCGAACATATTTGCCAACTGTTCAGAAAACAATTAAAGCACTGATGTTAAAGACTCTCAGAAAATTAAGTATAAATATTAAAAGTTGCTACCTTAATGTACAAAAAGTCAAGAAAATATAGTATACATAGATATAAAATATAGATAATAATCAATATAAAATTATAAATAAATGTAGATATAAATCAATATAAAATTATAAGATTTTCGAACAATTTTTATTGCAGAAATCGAAAAATATAAATTATTGTCCGAGGTCAAATCAGTCATAGTCATTTTTCAGATTTTTCGATTTTTGGTTCAAAAAAATTTTCGAAAAATTTTTATAGCAGAAATCGAAAAATATAAAAAATTATCCGAAGTGAAATCAGTCATAGTCATTTTTCAGATTTTTCAATTTTTGGTTCAATAAAATTTTCGAAAGATATTAAAAATAATCATTAACCTAATAATTTCGTTTATGCTTACAAACTGTGCGAGTGGAAGTTGCTCCTCCGGCGGATGCCGATCGATGTCGAAGGCATAAGTCATGATGATGTGCTCCCGCCTGTCTTGGTGCAACAACAGAATCACATCGTCCTTCAGTGCAGCGACGGACAGCACATTCAACAGTTTTACTCGCACGTCACTGTCTAGCGATTTATCGTAGAGTACTCGACCTAAGAAGCCATTTAATTCAATAGAATTTTAATATAACATAACACACAATATATGTCATATATTTTCAGGAATACGTATTAGCTCACCAACGAAGTTCAAGAAGTTATCGCCTAGAGCCCAGGAACCCTCGTCCTCCAAGACGTATTGCCGCAGTTCATCCAGGCACGTTTGTTCCTCGTCGTTCAACTTCCCTTTGAGGGCGTTCACCAAACCTTCGTACTCCATTCGCACATCTATCAGGTCTTTGAATACTATCGGTGGATCTCGACGGCGTTTCTTCTCTTCTTGCTCGCGCTTCTCATCCTCCTCCATCTGCATCACTCGCTCAGACGGTAGCATCTCCGCAGGCGCGTTTTCTCCATTAGCTGCCTGCTGCTGCGTCTCCCCGATTGCACCTGATAATAAATATCAAATTTATAGATTTATTTTTCAAATTATAACTATTTTTATTATTAATTATTTTTCAATTTGCAGTATAAAATTCTACGCACTCTCGTTCTCCGCCATATCTGCGCAGCAATTGCTCGGTCCGGTACTGTTGCTGTCGCTGCCGGTGGCCTCCCTGCTACCTTTATCTTTCTTCTCCTTTTTCTTCTTTTTCTTCTTCCGGTCTTTCTTCGCTAACTTCTCGTTAATGACGTTCCTCCGTTCCTCTAACGCGATCGAATTCAACCTGCGAGCACGTGCGAAATCTTTGTAAAATACCTGTAAAAACCTGTAAAATGATAATCACGCGCGAAATTGTACCTTGCTTCTTCGATGGCTGTATTTAGGAGTTGATATTCCGGCGAAGCTTCCCTCTGGACCGAGCCTAGCGGCTCGACGAATCTCTGACCGACTGTAAATCCAGCACTCGAGCTACTGCTTAATGTTTCTATCAATGGTCCTAAAGCTTGTCCGATAGGTCTAAAAATAAATATAATAAATAAAAAATTAAATGTATTAAAATATCGCTTCAAAATAAATGCAACAAATATTTATATTTTTTTTATAATAAACATAATATTAAATATCAAATCGAGATAAGACGTACGTTTGTAATATTTCTTCTGGTAGATCAAGAATATACTTGGGAATGCCCTTGCCTACCAGGAAGTTGCTGACTTCCTCGGTGAAGGAATTGCAATTGTGCTTGAAAAGATTGTATGTGCCCGGTCTGAAAAAAAAAGGACGTTTTGTTCAACAAAAGTCAAAAACAAAAGACTAATCTTTGAATATCAAAGACAAATTAAATTATTAGATAACAAAGTCTGACAATGAGGAAATAAAATTGAACGATAAAAAACCAAATACGTAATTTCCAAAGAAAAAAGTCGAATAAATCTTACGCAACAAAAATGAAAGTCTCCATGGAAGATCATAGAAGTGACACGTGATTCCTTCAATAAATTAACGAATAAATTTACATTTACAAAGAGAAAGAGACGCGATTAAATTTGAACGACGAGTCACGCTTTGAAAAAGAAAGTGTAAAATAAACGAAAGTAACTATAGTAAAGTGAACGAAAAGTAACATTAATTTAATGCAGCACAGAAATGCATACGAGCACATGATTTGCCTTCCCACAATTCCAACTACAAAATGAAGACACAGACGGCGAGAGCTGCGACCGAATCAGCTTTCGCAACACGAACACACACATCTCGGCGCGCAGGCATCAGCCGACGATACTCACGCAAACGTGGAAGTCCCCAGGCCGTTTATGTACTCCAGGAAGACCGGGTAGGGCAGGTAAGTCTCGCCGAGCTTCTCGATCCTCTGCGGATCCCGTAACTCCGTGCCACCCTGAAACACGAAATGCCGTCGAGCGGTCGTCGTTAAAATCGCGTTCCGGGAAAATCCGCGCCGCGCCGTCAATGTCAATTTCGCGGCAGCTGCGCTGATCCAACGGCCGCGGTTTCGTTCGCCGGAGAGACAGAAGAGAAAAGAGAAAGAGAGCGGGCGCAAGAGAGGATGAGAAAAGTAGAGAGAACACCCGCCTCCTCCTGGCATTAGTGGCCGCGTAATTTTAGAACTACGACAAATCTCGCGCTTCCCTGCGAGAAACCGCCGAAAATAGACGCCCGCGGCACGCGTTGGAGCCGCGACCTCTTCTAGAACGCAAAAGAAAGACGCGGTCCGGCGGAAGTGAAGAGCGAGGAGAGAGGCGAGACAGGGGAAGAAAGCGTTCATTACGTGCTCCGAGGGCTGGACCTCCCGAGGGAACGTGTCGACGGTGCAAATTTTTATACAAAAAAAAATAGTGGAATCCATGCGATACAGAAAAACAAAAAAATAAGATATATTACACATCGAATGAGCAGGAAACTTTAATTAATTCAGTTTGCGTCAGATCACGATATGTAGTCCTCGATGAGAATGGAGGGATTTACTGAGAAACTCCGCCGCTCGAAAATCAAGATGCGAGAATAGGAATTAACAGATATCATTCAGAAATCGAAAATTTTATTCAATTAGCGTGCTAAATTAACCGACTGCTTAATTCTTCAAACAAACTCCCTCGAGAAGTTAGAAGGTAAAAATATTACTTGATATTTTAATAATGCGGTATAGTTTTCTATTCACGGAACTGTACAATATCACAAATTGTGATTTTCGTGAATTTATTCTTTCACCTTCCGAGCTCAAAATTGCACTCGCTTTTCCTCTCTTTCTCGCAGCACTCGACCACAAGATCTCCACTTCCGTCGGCTGCGGGACGAAACCGGAAACGCGCCCGTTTCACGTGAGCACTTACGAATCGGAGACAGGAAGTGAGAACGGATAAAAAATCGGGGTGAGAAAGAACTGTCCTTCCGCGCTCTCTTCGAGAGCGCTCCCGAGAGCGGGAAACGGCTCGCACGCGGACTGCTGGTGCTCGGAGAACGCCACGGCGAACGAGACGCCGACGTTGAAGGATGAGTGCGTGGCGCGCGCGCACTTCCGAAATTAAGATTTGCGTTCCTGAAATTGCTGGCCAAAGATGCCGTGCGAAAAAAGGGGTATTTTGCTAAAAAAAAGGAGCAATTAAGGATGCCCGTTCAGGCAATACATTGTTGGACGAGATGTTGGTCGCGTAGATGCCGACGTGACAGTCGTGGTGAAGCTGATGAGATCCAAGAAAGAAAATTCTATATCATAAAGACCAGTCGCAAGCGATATGCATTTGCGTGGATGACGGAACGAGAAGACATCTTCGCGAGAAAAAGATAATCGATACACAGGTTGTAATGCCTATTGAGGAAAATTGGCGGGATATGAAAATTTTGCAAAGGATATAAATGTGATTTAGAGATAATATTTATTATAGTACAGTCAGTACTATAATTAGATGTATAAAGTAAGTATTTATAAATATATATAAAAAATATTGAAAGAAATAAACTTGCCACAATTTAAGCTGACACAAGGTGAACGTATGTAAAATAATACAGTATATTAATTACAACAAGAGACTCACATTTTGGATACAGAAATTGCTTGAAACAAATATAAAAAAGTAATAAAAAATTACATAAATAGAAGACATAAATACGTCACGGTATAAATAATCGTCAAACTAATTAAAAGCTTTTGCGTGTAAAAGTGAATTGCGTACAATAGTTATGCAGTTTAGTGCGTCCAAAGATAAAAGACAATATTTTTTATTAGGCATTAAAACGCTTAAGCAGTAACGTCATAAAGATAAAAAAAATGCAAAGTAATGTAACGGAATTTGTGAGCGAAATAATTAGCATATTAATTATGTCACTTCTCTGCGCTAATTATTTCGCCTATAAACTCCGTTACTTTGCGTTATCTTTTTGACGATACTGCTTAAACATTTTACCAAATGTATAATATTAGAGAAGTGTCCTTCTATCTTTGGACGATAAACTAGATGACTACACATCAATTCACTTTTACATGCTAAGGCTTTTATAATTAATTTGATGACTATTTATACCGTAACTTATTTATGTTTTTTATGTTATTTTTTAAAATTACTTTTTATACTTTTATATTTCAAGCAGTTTCTGTACTAAAGATAAGCCAAAATCAAGGTCGAAAAGTCTACTATTGTAATTAATATACTGTATTATTTTACACACGTTCACCTTGTGTCGGCTTAGATTGGCAATTTTATATCCTTTGATTTATGATTTCGTTCAAGCTTAAATATTTTCTCTAATTATTATAAAAAGTATCTGTAACATATTCGCGCAGCCAAATAGAGTTTCACGGGGGAGGACTTCGTAGGTGGAAATGAGTGTGTCAGTTATATCGTTTTTCACGGTGTCATAAAGCGACGCGCATTACAATTACGCGTGCATTAGTCACGCGCGTACCCGTATGCTTATTTTCGTCAGCGTGGATAAAGTAATGCAGCCGTAATGATTTCATCGCGTTGCTTTTAGACGCGTGTCGGTGTCGCGATTATTACATCCGCAATCGCTCGCCAGTAGCGACCGCTTCAGCTTGCACGAAGGAATTCGCATACTGACCAAGGGAAGATTTTAATATAATATAATTAGTTTTATAATATAATTTTAGTAAAATTGCTGCATAATTTAGACAAAATTCAAAAAATTGCACGAGTTATTTTCGCATTTTACTAAAAAAAAAAAATTATCAATACAAATATAATAAAAAGATTAGTTAGAGAGATACGCAAGAAGAGTAGCATCGTATCTCAAAACTCGTCAACTTGGTACTCCTAGGATCAACTTTCGAATGATTTTTGTGTCGCTGGTCTCGCTTTGTATTTTAATACATAAGAAGACTATGAAAATTCGTCTGAGCTCTAGGGAACGCAGGGAAGAACTATTCTGGCGTAACTACACTGTCTAGCCAAGCGGAGGATGGACCGGCTATACGGCTGCAGCGATTACGAAGCAACCACACCGGTAATAATCGGGGAAACATTTTGTCGCATGCGGGGATGTAGACACGGATGGACCTTACCTTCGCCTTGCGTCGAGTCTGAACTCACGTGGAACATAGGTCAGAAAAGAGAATTATCGTAAGAGAGAAAGAGAGAGAGAGAGAGAGCGGATTGAGGAAGCGGATGTGTGCGTGCACGTGCGTGCGCGCGTGTGCGTGCAGCGGGGATTATTTTCGGATTGAACCGCACCAAATTTAGTTCCCGCCCGTGTCTAGCGTATCGTATGGCCCGCCGAGCGACTCCGTCGCTCTACGACTAGGCCTTCCGATGATCGGTCGCGGCTTCGGGGGGGCCGCGGATGCATCGGCGCACCGATAGGTGTACCGAGCGTGACGCGGGAAGCGACGGGAACCATTAATTCTCGGCTCGTTGATAGCACGGCCCCGGATTATTTATATTGCACTTGTCCTAGCGACGTTGTCGCGCAATGACCCCATCGATGACCTGACCTGAGATTGTTAATGTTGCTGCAGAAACGTGTGAGTAAATGAAAAGGGAGAAATGTTGCTTAGCGTGGGAGTTCAGCACCGGCAGAATGGATCCGGTGTTTATTCAACAAACACAGAAAGCTCGCCTCCTCCCCCCATTCCCTCATCCCCGAGAGCTCGGCGGCAGGACGCGCTGCTTACTAATGCGTTGTTGATACTGGCCGAGCAGTAGCGATTGATGTTTGTGAACGCGCGGAAATACTCACGAGAAGGAAAGAAAGCACTCGGGCGGAGTATCGAGTACGGCGCGACGGGAACCACCTGCGTGACTGAACGAAAACCCGGCGTTGTATTTTAACGTTTCTGCCGGCGTCGCCGTGATGCAGGCAGCGCTACTAAACGCTCGATCGTGTCCCAATCGAGACAATCAGATCCGCCAGTGGCGGAGGATACTCACGGGTCGGACACTCTGGATGCCGGCCGGGCCGAAGAAGTACTCCCTTCCGTATGCGACTATCCCTGTGTGCCATATTCCGTCCAACTGACGACCTACGAACAAAAGTTAGATTAACGATCGCTATTTTAATGACAAAACAAATACAACAGTATAAAATAATATTTAATGATATCTGTGGTACGCGCGTTTATCAGGCATTCATATAATTTTCTTAATATAATTTTAGCGCATTTACTCCTCGATATAGAATTAAGACTATTTTACATTAAATAAAAAATAATTATTTGGCAATTAATTGGCAGTAATGATTTCCGCGCGTAAAATTTTACGATAATAAAACTAATAAGAATTGATAATAATCATACGATAAATATTTACCGGTGCAAATAATTTTAATTTTAATAAAATTTGGCAACGTTATAAGATGTCTCTTGGACAGTATATCCCTCAAAAGAGAAGAATTAAAAGACGGCCCTCAAAACTTCAGTGGAATATTAGCTAGTTCCAAGTTTTCGGATCCAGAAAAAATTCGGAATTACATGAAAACTGATTCTATTTGCATCCCCGACGTGATCCAACTAAGCAACCTCGAGACAGGCTTAAACTCAGGCTCGCGATACTTGTTCCAAGGACCGACGGGGACGATAATAATTGTCGCGGCGTGTCCTCGTGTAAATTCACCGGCTAGATCGGCTAGCGGCGAAACGCGGAGGCCTGGATGAAGCTCGAGCTTGCGGACCCGTATGCGCCTCCTTCGACCCAGTTCTGCACCGCGGAAATAGCTAAGTACATCCGCGTACACGCGTATCGCTTCGTGGCTTTCTCATTGCACCTCTCGGGCACCTCCCGGTGATGTCGGCCTCGCAAGAAATAACCTGGCCGTTATAATTACTTCCAGAGCGGTGCGAGAGACGCCGACGTTTACGACGAATTCGAAGACGGAAGGCGAATCTCGAGCTTTTGACGGCCGTAGATGCAACGGGATATATTTATAGAAGGTAACTTTACGTAACGCAAATTTTCGATTTAGTGCCCTGACAAGGGTGGCAATTGTACCTTTATTTATCGATAAATTAAGACTTTCTTTAAGTTGGATTAAAAAAAAATTATTAAATAATTGGCACAATCGTTCTCAGCATTAATCTGACTAGAAGTAACGAATTCCTGCGACTGAGAATCTATTTCTCGGGAGAATCATAATTCTCTATGGCATTGCCGAAACAATTTATCCGCAAGATAATTCCGACGTTTCCAAGGTTTCTACTCGACACTCGACTTCGGTCTGAAACAACCGCCAATTCATCCAGATTGAAAATTTCTTAGAGCATTGGAACGAACGCTGCACTCGACGAACTCGAAAATAGACGTCCGAGAGCGCGAGAACGTGGCTCGAACGCACGTGGCGCAGACACGGTTCGCGCTTTACGCCATCCGCATGGAATTTCGTACGGTTTTACGGGGCACCCCGCTCTCTGGCACCCTTTCCGACCGCTTCCGCGTTGGTCCCGCTGCACCTGCGATTCTCTAAATTATTGCCGCGCATACCGCGCGCGTTTGCACGCCTTCTCACACTTCGTCTTTCGAGTCATTCATTTCTAAATCTCTAAGAAGAATTTTAGTTACCTAGCACGGTGAATAAATCTTTTCCCATGTTTTTCTTTTTTAATTTTATTTATCGTGCATTTTGAAAAGATCCGACCCTGCGCACTTCGACGCGTGTTCGCGTTTCTCGTTGTATCCCAGTGGAGCGCATCGATTAATCGTCGTAGCTGGCCGATAACAACAACGTCGCCACTCTGTGACAATGAGTCATCGTCGCCCAAAGTGTCACCAATTCTCGACGGCTGTTTATATTTAAATCGCCTTTAATCCGAAATCGTCCGTACGATCTGGCAAGAGTCGCAACGCCGAGAGGTGCAATAAGACGCGGTGATAGCGATAATGAGCGTATTACGAGCGTGCATGACTGGCAGAATCGAAGAAGACGACTGTCAAGAAATCGATTGTTCACGTCAGCTCTTTTCTGCGAACTGAAATACTTCGAACGTATATTTAAAATAAAAATAATCAAAATGATCCTACCATTCAGTGATCTCAATTACAGAATTTTACTTAAAAAGTCAAAGTTATATATTAATCCATTATCTACCAAAATTGCAACACGAAGGCAGAAGAACTGCGATCGCTGTTTTCACCGCGCATAACAAAGAAAGACATTTTCCGCCACGTTATATCTTTAAATAACATTCCGGCTCAAGGTAAGAGAGCTTAAAATTGCCCGATGAAAACAGCGATGAAAACAGCATTCCGCCTCAATAAATATTGTGATCAATCACGACGCAAGCAGATGCACATGACGCAGGGCTCAATTCTTTAGGTCAATGACATTTTTAACAAAATAGCTTCTTACCCCCTGAACATCATTTAATTACCTTTCAATAAATAATAAATATTAATCAATGTGTATAAAAACATAAATAATAAAATTTTTCGGAATCTTATGCCTTTGTTATTAATTATAAAGTGCATAGGAGAAGTTAATGACTTTTGCTTTAAAAGACTATCCTAATTTCCTTTTTATTTATGAATAATTTTCATTTTTGTTATAACAAAATGTCCCCAGAAAAATCGAGTTAAAAAGATTAATACAAGCGATATATTTACGTAACTATTAATACTGTCATTTAGTAATTCCTCGTGCTTACCGATAAGTATTCGCGACATCATCGTGGCCATTCCCTTGGTAAGATCGTAAATGTACAGCTCCACTGCCGTCCTCACATCTTCCTCCTCCATCTTACCCTGAAAAAAATAAAAGTCGCTTATAAAATTCAGTAGTTATTAAATCGTTTCAAATAAGAATTGCCGAAATTGTCAAACAATCCGTATGCATTATCTACGTCTGTAAGCGGCGTCTGCAGTGAGACTTAAGACTTAAAATTTAAAAGAAAATTGATCAATTATAGTTGATTATATTCTCCTCACGTGAAGAGAATAATCAACTACAATTAGTCAATTTTTTTAAGTTTTAAATCTCATTGTAGACGGCGCTTAAAGTACAATTCTTTCGTTCCTGACTTTTACGCGCGATCCAAATCCACGTGTCTACCTTCATCAGGATAGACACAACGATGTCGCGTAAACGTTTCTGACGTACTATACACCGTTCCGACATATGTACCTTACGACGTTGAGCTCTGCTCCGTACGTAACAACTCGGGGACGCAAATATACACCGTCTCGGAGAGCCGTGCTCCCGCGCCGTATGACCCGAAGCGTCCCTCAAAGACGCCCTCGTCGGCGTCTCTCGACGGGAAAATGATGAGGCGGGAACACCTCGGCTACGAGGCGGCTTTCAATATATCGTTCGCGTGCGCCGATCCTAATCGGACGCGGCACGCGAGAAAAAGGCTGCGAGTGTCCAAAAATACGGATTTCGTGCCTCGAACACCCCCGCCAGATAATCCGCAATTTATCTCGAATAATTGTGAAAAAAATATTTGTCACATTTCTCTCGCTATAATCCGACAAGCAATACTCGAAGCTCTTGGTACATCCAGAACGATCTCCCATAATGAGATCATAATTCGAAAAATGTGGTACTCACAGCTCTTTTCTATGTCGTGTCTCCGTGATCAGAGCAAATGCCTTTTCTGTCGCCGTGCAAAATCGTTCAGTTTCTCGTAGAGAAATTGTCTAATTTGACGTAGTAATGACGAGTTTCACCGGAGTTTCACCGTGTGGCGATAAAGCCGCAGTGAGTCAGCGATTTAGATGCGTCTACGTGTATACATATATTGTAGAAGCTACAGTTATATAGTTTCTTCGTTTTCATCCATGAATCGTTTGACGCGATCTAAATAATTGAAAGAAATATTATGAAATTTTTTGTAGAGAAAAAAGTTAATTTTATATCTGACAATAAATGTAAGCAGATTTTATTATCATTTATAAAAGTAGAAAGAAACTAATTATATACATTATTCTTTCTAATTTTATTTGAACTCCTTAAGTCAATTTCAAAATTTTCGTAAATCAAATGTAACTTTAAATAAACGAGAATATCAGAGGCAATAATAAGCCTCAATTTAAGACAACAACGTCTTAAATTGAGGCTTGTGAATACACGATCGAGTCTAGAGATTTGCAAACTTTACTTATTACGTAATCATAATGCTTTTTTACCTCCTTTTTGTTACAAGATAAGTTTATCTTACGAAAAACGTTCTACTCGTTAAAAGAATATTCTTTCGCTTTGATATCAAAGCGCGGGAATTACCCGGGTAAATATATCAATTAGAAGTACCGAGCTGGAAAATTAGAAATTAAGAATAAATGATTTAAAGTATTTAAACTAAGAAAAATATTAGCGGAAAAGTTCGCGAGCGTCGTTTCGCGAGGAACAAGAAGAGGAGCGTCGACAAGGCCTACCTTCCTGCTCTCATTGACGGCTTAACAGGTGGATCGATTATCGGGTACGACCTCCGCGGGAAGGAGGGGGACGAAAGCGGCGGGCGAACTCCTGGGCGAAGCGGCGGATCGACCGTGGACGAGAAGCCGACGCGGTTGATGCTGGACGACGACGACGACGACGACGACGACGACAAGAAAACTTGACGCGCGCGCGTAAAGGCGGGAGCGGGTTTCTCGAGGAGCGGTCCCGGGGTGCGCCTCTCGCGCTAGATGACTACCGGCTAGCAAATGCAAACTGATCGCGCCGAAATCCTCATCGGAGTACGCGGCCTCCGCGGGGCCGCGGGGTCCCTCACGGCGCGGTAGTCGTTCTTGGCAGGAAGAAACGGTAAAGAGGTAAGAGGGTCATAAGCAGCGGCTACCGCCGGCCACCTCTCCGACGTTCGCCAGCCATCCCACACGATCTCTGCATTGTCATGGATTTATCGTCATTTGCACGTCGTTTGATCGTAACATTCTTCTCTCGGCAACGTCTGAAAGAGTAAGGGAAGCATGCTGAAACGCGTTGGCTCGTTGAAACGCGCGTTAAAAGACGACGCTATTGTGATTCGCTGAGTCACGTCGCTCAGCGTCGTATGACGCAGACACTCGATCGAGAAACGCGTATGTCTCTCGTACGTAGTATACTAACTACATCTCTATCCGTATATACATATATATGTATATATCTCTATCTCCGTAGGTGTTTTTTCAATATACAGTTTCTATATCCCTTGTGATATCATAGTTATTCCGAAACATAATGGACGTTGGCTAGAGACCCTGGCAGGCGCGTTTTCGGAATTTTTGGGAGACCTTTGCACATACGCGCGTCAAAAATACACGTGATTCTCCATTCCGGATAGAGGATACGACGTGAATCGAGAGAATCTCTCCAAACGCCAGGGAGAATATTTCGAAATTCTGAAAACTCAGTTATATTGAGAGAGAGAGAGAGAGAGAGAGAGAGAGACACGCCAGTTTTCAGCAGCTGAAGTAAACATACTTCTTAGCATTCGTGTAACTTCGCAAAGCTACAACAAGAAACAAGAAACGACGCAAGAAATCGTGTGTTATGAAACGTTCAATGAAAAATTCGCGAGCAGTCTGGAAAATACGAAGAAATTCGTAAAAGTATGCAGAGTTTACCAGTCCATTACGCTGAAATTCATCGTCCGCGCCGACGAGAGAAGTGCCAGCGTCTAATTTATTTATATCCGAGTACGATCACCTGGTAAAGTGTCGCGGCGATTGCCGGCCACCGTGGCCATGACCAGATAACAATTTCGCGATCGCGGTTCAACGCGTATCCCGCTAATTCCCGCAACGACACACGAATTCGCGAGGTGGTTATGTTCCGTGTAGCTTTGCGTTGCTCTAACGTAAGAAAAAAAAAACAAAAAACAAGTAGCCGAGAAAATGGGGATGTACATACGGAAGAAATCATACGGAAACATACATATATATCTTGCTCCAGAAATAAAATTCCTCCAAAAGCAACATTCTCGCCAAATATCTCCGCCTGATCACCTCCCACTGCTCCCCCGCCATGGCGCGTCTCAACGGTCGGAGGATCCTCGCCGGAAGTTGGAGGGTCATTCCCGGAAGGCGGAAATGACCGACGCGCGCGGGCGAGAGAGACCGAACGCAGCGCGCGTAGCGTCGGAAACGCGCGACGCGTGGCGCACAACAAACCGATCTTGCGAGCGCCGCGCGCCGGATATGCTATATCGACGGCGCTACGCTCTTTCGAAAGTGCGCCCAGGGGTCGGCGTCCGCTTCTACCCCGCCGTAGGACAGGTTGCATAGTGCGCGGAGCGGAGTTCGCGCGGCGAGACGGGACAGGAGAGGGAAGGAAGGAGCGCACACACGGGAACGGAGAGCCGCGCTTGTTGCGAGAGTTGCGAGTGGCGTCGTCCTTGTCGTCCTCGTCGTCTGTCGCGCGCGCGATTACGGTCGTTCGATCGACGTTCGGACGGGATAGTCAGGAGAGAGAGAGAGAGAGAGAGAGAGAAAGAGAGACACACAAGGGAAAAAAAAGAGAAGCGAAAGCGCAAGAATTTTGGAGTCGCCAAAGAGAACGGCGCACGCCAAGCGAGAGAGACTTACCCAGGCGTCAAGCAGCAAGGATCCCTCAGGAACAACTCGGAGGAGCTCTAGCTCGACCAACTCGATTCGCGCGGTATTCGCAAATCTCGCTGTGCAGACTCGCCTCCGGTCGACCAGTGGCAGGGACGCGGGGACGCCTCGCCTGTGTGTGGCACGTCGAGATCTCTCGCGGGAGTTGGTTGTACCGCGCCGAGCGTGACGGCGGCGAATCGTATCGTGTCCGCGCGAGGTGCTCTCGTTCGCGCGCGCTCAGCTGACTCCGCCGAACTGTATCAGCGTACGGTTTTGCGCGTCGCGTATCACGGTCTGTCAGTGTAGGACTTGAAGGAACGCGTGTGCGGTCGCGCGGTGCGACATCGCGGTGCTCGATCAAATCATTCGCTGCCCCGTCGTGCAGGGAAACACGGCTCGTCGACCGCGAGAAGGTGGGAAGGAGAGCGCGCGAAGAAGACGGAGAAAGAGGGAGTGCGCGGAGGTTAGGTTTGAGCCCCACCGACGTTGACTCGACAGTTTTCACGTCGCGCGGAGCGTCGTCGCGACGCTAGGGACTTTGGCGCCGCCGCACACTCGCGCGGTCGTATACAACAGAGCGGGCTGAACAGCTGATGCACCACCGACACCGGCGAGATGTCAAATATCGTAAGTGCACGCGCGGCGGCCGAAACGCGGCTCCGGCCGGGGCACGCGGGGACTGCCGTACGGACGCGAGAGCGGAAACCGCATTTCCCTTCCCTTCCCCGCCCCAGCTCGCTTTGTTGTCGCAACGTGGCCGCGAGAAGAAAATTCCCAGACGATAGACGCGGGGGCCCCCGTCCTGGGAGCTCCCTCGTGTCGGAGGCCACCTTTGGCTTTACCTGGCCTCCTTCGTTCACCTCCCCCGATTAATTTCCGACGATCGCGAGCGAACGAAGCGACGCTCGATCTTTCTGCTCTCGCGTGACTTGACAATTTCGCTGAATGTAATTATGTAACTTGCAGCAAAATCAAGAAGCTGCAAATCTCCCTAATGCTAATTAATTATTATTGCAACACGTCTGATGTAGAAATTTGTACAGAAACGACTAGATTATTTTTTCTGTCGCTTGATTTCCCAACAATTTATTTATATACAAATAGTGTACAAAGTTAGCATGTAGTTTTGTTACGAAGAATTTTATCATGTACACAATGCTCAGAAACTTTTGTCGAATAAATGTGAATTTGTTTTATTACATGTCGCGTTTATTTACTTCCAGATCCTACGTGTGCAGTCTCCAGAGGGTACAAAACGTATAGAAGTGCTACCTTCTGATACAATTTCTCGACTTTACGAGAAGGTACAGACCGTGAGAGATGTTTTTTTAATACAAATATACATTGTGAAACAACATTGGTGAAATTTATCTCGGATTATCTCTTGCCTAGGTCTACGAAGCCTTCGATTTAAATAGTTTTGGATTTAATCTCTGTAAGCAACGAAGCCAGAAGGAGCCACTGACGTCTACCCGAAGTAGAACAGTGTCAGGGATCGGTCTTTCTCATGGAGATATACTTTACCTTGTGCCAGCCAATGGCACCCAACTCTGGAGTGCTCCGTCAACCAGTAGTGCCTCCAATAACACTTCTGCAGGTACTTATTCGTTCGCATTACCACAGCGTGACGTAACTGCAACACATAGAACATAGGAATAATACTTAAAGTGATGGAATTAACATAAAGAGTGCTGTTACAAAATATTAAAGAAATATTTTAAATATGATAACGTGATTATTCATATTAAGTTGGCAAGCACATTTGTAAGAAACATTTATATTTAATTTAAAAAATTATGAGACTTCCATTCAGACATTTGACTTTTGTATTGACATTGCTTGATATATTTAAATGCAGAATCAGGCCCAGTGGACACTGCAAACGGAATTACAAATCGTTCATCCGGTCCTCCGCGATCTCTGCCGAATGTAGTCGAGAATGACATCGACGAGCAATTGTGGAAGCTGGATGGCAAGATCCAGCGCAAACGCGACGAGAAACTGTAAGTAATGTAAAATGATTCGGAGACAGGAATCAAGATAGGAGAGGAAAATTTAAATTACATTTGTCATCTTACAGTTGTCGGCACGGAGCGAGAGGATGCTGCGTTCATTGTTCACCTCTTGAACCTTTCGACGAGATTTATCTGAAGGAACAAAATATCAAACATCTGTCTTTTCATTCGTATCTCAGGAAGCTCACTGCCGGAGTTGATAGGTAACGTACATTTGAAATGTGTCGTGAAATAATTGTAAACAATTACAAGAATATTCGATTGTATCTCGTATATATATATATATATATTTTTGTCGCAGGGGCAAGTTTATACAATTAGACGACATAAGCTGCCGTATAAAGACTGGCTGCAAGGACCATCCGCCGTGGCCGCGAGGGATTTGCAGCAAGTGCCAACCGAACTCAATCACTCTGAACCGCCAGACTTATCGGCATGTGGACAACGTCATGTTCGAAAATGCTAGTTTAGTAGAACGTTTTCTTAATTACTGGCGCAGCACTGGGCACCAACGCATCGGCTATCTGTACGGAAGATACGAAGTGCATTCGGATGTTCCGCTAGGAATAAGAGCAGTCGTTGCGGCCATATACGAACCACCGCAGGTACATAGCGCTCGTACACAATTCTTCGACAAATCTATAAACATACACCTTTTTGGTTAACGAGTTTTAACGTTCGCGTTTTTTTTTTCTTTTTTGGTCAGGAAAGTACAAAAGACACGATAAGACTTCTGCCGGACGAGAGGGAAGCGTTAGTCGAGGAGTTAGGCCGGACACTTAATCTGAGGAGAGTCGGATGGATATTCACTGACCTCATAGCCGACGATATCAAGAAGGGAACGGTAATTTGATACAACTTTTATTCCTCGTGTAATGCATTTTTTTTTTTAATATACCGAACTCGTACGTGCGGCGATTAACTTCGTCAGTTTTTATTCGATTCAGGTCAAACATGTCCGCAATATAGAAAGTCATTTCCTATCCGCTCAAGAGTGCATTATGGCTGGGTACTTTCAAAACCGGTACCCAAACCCCTGCCGCTTCTCGCCTAATGGTTATTTCGGCTCGAAATTCGTAACCGTTTGCGTCACAGGTAAAGTCAATCTTACTTTATAATACATGTATCCATTTTTTCTTGTTTCGTAGATATTAGGTTGATTAAAAAAGTTTGTTTCTCGTGTCGTATCAGGGCATCAGCCGCATAGGAAAAGACGAACGAATTTTTTGATCAACCTAATAATATACAATAGCACATTTCCTTCGAATATTACGAAATCTCTGCTACAAACGCCATGCAAAACTAGTTATCAGATGTATATATATATTTCTTTCCTCGGAATATTACAGGTGACGATAAAAATCAAGTGCACATGGAGGGCTATCAGGTATCCAATCAATGCATGGCGTTGGTACGAGATGGCTGTTTGGTTCCTACAAAAGACGCACCGGAATTGGGCTATGTGATCGAGTCGACCGATAAGCAATACGTTCCGGATGTCTTCTATAAGGTAAGTTCAAACATATCGATTTTATTTTCTATTCGATTACGCTTTCATGAACCACTTTGATCTAATAATACATGTATATCGAACGAGTGCCTTCGAATTTTTCACATATGTCTATCGCAGCTTAATATTTATTGGAATTTACGCAAGTTTTGTTTCGCACAACTTAAGATATATAGATATATAGGATACGAACAAATTATAATACATGAAAGGAGAAGAAGTTTATATATATAACTCAAAATCGATCGATTAAAAGTACATTTAAGTTGAGGCAATGAACGTTCACTTCGTACATGTATAATGAAATAATAAAATTCGTTTAAACGATGGCTCCTACGGTGTGATTACCGCGAACCCGAAAAAAAAAATCACGATCTTTACGCTTTCAATGATCACCGCAACTCGAGGAGCAGGGAATAAGAGAGAGAGAGAGAGAACGCGAGCGGAAGAAAAAGGAGAGATATGGAGAGAAATAATGGCGAGGTAGAAAGGCGAGGAAAGAACTTGTCCAAGTGTTTACAGCCACTCAATCGTTTAATCGCACGCGAGGGGCCAGGTAAATCGGTCGGTCGTTAGAATCGATATTACAAGCTATGCGTTGTTACCTCATCACGTTCATAAAAATATACGTAGTTTATATATTTGTATATATATAATATATTGTATATACGCGCGCGCATAGGTATCTGTATCTGTGTGTATGTACTTCGTGTAAATGTACGTGTGTACAGGTGGGCCTGATCTTCACTCGCTTCGGTAATGTCTTCTATTCTTCACGATTGCGTCTCTACGATTACGTACTAAAAGTTACAAGTTTTTGTCGGAATCTTCACCGAAACGAGAGAATTCGTTTTACACATCCATTCGTTCGAACACACAATCATCTAACCTCCCCCCCCAACCCCCTTATGGTCGTCGTGTATACAATATTGTACATGTACAAATCGATAGCAAAAATACTTTCCGGCGTGGGAAATATTGTGAACTCTGCGCTTTAGATTGAACGAGCTTTTCTATCTGTGAATCTGGTTGGATTCTCTCTCTCTCTAGATCTTAGCAAATCAACTGCTGGTCTTGCTTCTCTAGAGAAGAGAGAGAAGCTCGATGCAAACGGTTCGCAGCTTCACTTACACTCGACTCGGACAGCATTTCCGCTCTTGATCCGTACAGGAGCGAGTTTATTTATTCCTAAAGACGACATGCGACGTGACGCGTTTCGCATCGCGTCAGTCATCGCGACGTCGATCGACGCGAGAGAGACGCGTTCTTCTTTCTTTTTTTTTTTTTTAATCAGCTAATCAACAAGTGTTAAAACTTTCAAGTTCAACATCGAATGAGGCTTTTCTTCAAGAAGGCATATATCCGCGACGACGCGAGGGCGATGCAATTTCTGCTAAATCACGCGTGAGTGTGCCTTGCCTTGTACGCGCGTGGAAATATACGCACGCACGTGTGCTCGCGAGAGAGGGAGAGATACGCGTCCGCTCCCGCGCACGCGCGCGCGCGTGTGTGACATTGTATGTAACGATAATAACGCATCAGGGACTTCATTACGAGGATTCAGACACGAGTAGTTATAACGCAGTTACATTATATCGTAATATTTTTCGATATACAGCATCGAGGAATGATTCGTTTAATAATATGTATATATATATACGTTATATATATCCGCACATTTCTTTTTTTTTTTTATTCTTTCGTTCGTTTCCCGATTAGACGACACGAGGCTTACGGTCTACATAGTAGTATTTAGGCCTTGCATACATTTGCGACGTATTGAGATCTAATCTTAAATACAGATATAACCCACGACGGTTCGCTAGTTCGCAAAGAACGAAAAGGGAAACGGGCTCGAGCCGCAAGTATCCGATCAGCGGTATCGCAAGATTCTTCTTCGCAAAACGCGCGCGCGCGATGAATGATCTCTTTTCCTCTTCCCTTTTAGCTCTTTTTTTTTCTTCCTCGCACCCCCGAAACGGAACGACACGCCGATTGCCGTGTCCGTGACGAACCATAAACTTCGCCCTCCTACGTGATTAACTATACCGATATCTCTTCTTCCTCTCACGGCTAAAGATATCTAAACGAGAGACCATGCGCGTACATTGGAATCGCGCGAATCACGACTTTTAGCAGCAAGTCGCGAAAAAGTCGCAAAAAAGAAAAAATAAAATAAAATAAAAGAACAAGAATCGAAAGAGCCGCATGTTTACTCGCGCGCAGATCTGTCTCTTTCGTTTCTTTCGTAAATATGTGTCTCCCGTATACATGACACATGATTCGGTTTCTCCTCCGACAGTTCGGACGTTACTACATTTAAATTCCCAGATTTATTCTACGCGTGCTTTTTTTTCTCACCCCTTTTATTCGCTATCTACGACCTAAAACATTAGCTACGCTCGCAGCTGGCCGGAGAACCGTCTGCCGCGATTCGCGCGGTATTATTTTTCTCCATTATATCACGTTCAAACGCGCGCGACACGCGCTTCTATGAACTACAAACGTCGTAGAAGAGTTAATTCCCGATAATAGCCAAAATAAATGTCAGACCTCTCTCTCCCTAAAAAATAAAAAAAAAAAACAAATACGTCGTATCAGCTAGAGAAGTCGTATCGATATCACGGTCGATCTCTGAGGTACGTATGTGTGTATGTGTGTGTATGTATATCGATCATCGTCGTTTATTGTTAGCAGAATCTCGTATTGATTCCCAGTCAATAGCAAAATATGGATTTTTATCTCTTTTTCTTTTTCTCGCACACGCCCGTCTTTAAAAATAGATTCGACATCTTTAGACTATTGTTAATAGTTAATTAAGTTGCATGACTCGTACGGAGCGTTCGAGGATTTCGCGGAGCTAATAAACGTGTCGCGACGGTGTCCCCGAGCGGATATACGTGCGGCAGATATAATAATAACAATAATCGTCTCCCGTCGTCGGACAATTATATATACGGTGTAACGTGATTTTCTTTTTGCACATTTCTTCTTTACGTATAGGTTTCTATCGCGGCCGCGTACGCGCGAGTCGGGGATACCGTGGCGACTTTTTCCTTCCGGTCATCTAGAGCACAGGAAAACGTGTTGTATACGGCGTTATATCATATATACGGAGTATATACTCATCTCTCGGAGATCTACCCCGCGTTGCAACAAACCGCGCGACAGCGACAGCATAAACGTTACAATTTACCGCATTTCGTGATTAGAATATTCTTGGTAGGCTTGCCGGTCTGGTCGCCGAACGTAGATATCTTCTCCACCAGCTCCAATCCCTCGACCACGTGGCCGAAGATGCCGGTGAAGCCGCGCATCTCCTGCAGTATTATGCGAAATTGCGAGCCGACCATGCCGAGGTTATCGTGCCGCTTCTGCGTCCGCCTCATACCCACCGCGCCCCTGACTGCCGGGAACTTGGTGTCGTCCGGCATAAAGAAGCCGTCCTCGAATATACTGCGCCCACCGCGGCCGTTGTTAAGCTCGAAGTCGCCCGTGATCACGGACTCGCCCTCCCAGCACTGGAATATCGTGCAGCCCTTGTAGCCGAATCCGACCTCCCCCGTCGACAGCAGGCTGAAGTTCTTCACCATCTTCGGCGCCGCGTCCGGTCGTACCTCGATCACGATGCGCCCGTGCGGCGAACCGTTCACCTCGATGTTGAAGTAGTACATGGGATACGGATTCGCAGGGCCTCGCGTCAACGGCGCGGTTATCGCGTTGGACGGCGGCTGCGGGGACGAGTGGACGGTCACTAGACTGCCGCCGCCGGCGCCGGTGCCGACCGCGTCGGACATGAACGTCGACTGCTGTTGCGGGTGCAGCATGGCATTGGGCGGTGCAGTCGGTACGGGTTTGACGGACGGTGAACCGGGTGGAATGAGGAGCTGCTGGGGAGCCTGGTTGGGTCCCGGTCCCGGTGGCGGCATCGGTGGGCCCTGGTGAACGTGAACGGATGGTGCCTGCTGCGGCGGCGGTGGCATCATACTTGAATGGTGGTACTCCATCGAGCCGTTCTGCATGTGCTGCTGCTTGCAGACAACGTGACGCGTGTACAGCTGCGACATGCAGTAATTCGCGAGGAACAAGATCGGATTGTGTGAGGCCGCGATATGATTCGGCAAGCGACCGCCGTTGTTCTGAGCGACGATCGGATCTGCCGTATGAATGTCCGCCAATGCCTGTTTCAGCAGGGCGAAGTCGAAAATCACTCCGGAATTGCCGATGAGATTGTCCAGCTGGCATTGTAGCAACATCTCCTGATACCTGGACTGCAACTTTTGTTTCTCGAGGATTATCTGCGAGTGTAAACCGTACACATCGCTCGGAGTTGTTTCACTCATCTGCAGGCTGGCCCTCGTCTTGACGGAGGCCTCGCGCGCCTCCGATATCTCGGGAAAGTGATGGTATCCGTTCGCAAGATCCGTCTCCACGTGTGTCTTCAACGTCACGCACGCTTCCAGCACCTTTATCAGAAAGTCGCGTTGCTGCTGGGCCAGTTTTTGAATCTCCAACGACAGTTTATTCACGGTGATTAACTCCAGTTGAATCTGCGAACGCGCGTTTCCTCGTCATTAGCTTCACTGGCTGGTTTTATCACGGAATCAGTAAAATCACGAATGGTTAGAAACTTACTTCGGACATGAGCTGTTCTTTGGCATCGGTTTGTGATTTGATCTGGTGACCTGGATGATCCTGCGGGCTCGCGCACGCTCTACAAAGCGCCATGCAACATGTCGCACACCACAATGCCAGCGGCATTCCGTGTGTATGACAGTTCTCGCTCTGCGAAAATATTTAAGCGTTATCGATCCACGACGAGAAAACCGTCCACGTGTATACACGATAAACACGAAGGTTCACGACCTGCCGCAAAGGAAGTGTCGCAAAAAGTAGAATATGAAATTATCGTATTTCTCGTAGGGATATCTCGAGATTTTTTTTTTTTAAGAGGCAAGACATGCGAAATCGTCGCAAATTCGGAAACAGTCCGTTCGCACTTGGGGGAGGAAAAAAAAGAGAGTGACGACACGTTCTTACAACATCATCCTATTATTGCCGGGACCGTTCCTTCTCGGTATGGCTTCGCTCGGTATGGCGCGTCCTGCGTCTCGCGTTACCCCGGTTACCCTGTCCCTCTCGACAAAAGCTCGCCGTTTACCATGCACGATGTACATCGCGTGAATGATCTTTCATCGTACAAATCCGAGACGCGACTTGCAATTTCTCCGTTTTATATTTTCAAAATCAAATACATATACCGACGTCCAATGTACTTCCCGTATCGTTTCCGAATAGATACAAGATCGCAACAGGTTACGCTACTCTCTTACGATCGGATCATCTTTTCTAGATTGTATACATTTGAAACGAAGACTTTCCGCATTTTCGTCCCCTCTCGACATATTGTCGTCGAATATTTCAAGCAACGTGAAAAATATTGGGAGCCGGTAGATTTCAAGGAAAAAGATTTCGCTCGAAAAAAAAACCGTCCGAACACAATCGGCGATTACCTTTCTCTCCTTCTCAGGTTTGCCAGACGTATTGTTTGTCGTGATCTTGAGACGCGGAAGATTGTTGGCCAGGGCAAGTAGAGCAGAGTGAGTTGGTAGAGCGTCCGCGCCCTGATTACCCAGGTCCGTCGTCTTCCAGCAGTGTGCGCACTTCAAATCGCGTCCCTGCAGCAGATTGCTCTCGATGCACCGTAGGCAAAAGTAGTGCTTGCAGCTAAGATACTTGGGGCACTGCTCTACGTCATTGTACTTCTGCTTGCAGCAACCGCAAAGCGTCAGCTCCTCCAAATCCGTTAGCACGCTCGGATCCAGCATCTGGAAGCGTAACACCCACGTACACACGTGCGTGCGTATTTCCTCCTCGTGTCTCGCAATTCCGTCGCAAACGTATGTATACGCGCGCGGAAAACACACGGTGCATATATACATACACACACGTACACACATAAACAGACATACGTAAAGCCCTTTTTTTTTCGTCTTCCTAGGTCACGCGAAGAAACATATTAGAATCTAAAAAACGGGATAAAATTTTTACTGTGTCAAATCGCGAAAATCCGATCGTTGATCGGTATTCGAAAGTAAGTTAGAAAAATCCATGATAAGAAACGTGCCGCGACTCGAACCATTCCCATAGCCGTCGTCGTCGTCGTCGTTGTCGTATGAGAATTTCGTTCAACTGTTATTCGCTTCCGGCAGGTATCCATCGTTTCCCATTCACATCTCAGTTTACTTCGGAAGAGATTTACCTGTTTGAGCAACATCGCGCCACGAATTGCGAAGCGTAGCGTCAGTTATGTGCCCCCTGAAACAGATCGCGACGTCGTTTAATCGCGCCGATTGTGGCCTCGCCTCCAGAAAGAAGGATATCGCGAAACTTTTTCACAGATATGCGCACTTCTCGAATGAATCGTAAGAATAAAAAAAAAATAAAAACAAAAAACACGTGGGAAATCGCGCCACGTCCTCTTACAATGAGGAGCTGCCTTTGGTGCCAACCAACGAGCTTCACGCGTGTCACGCAGGCACTGTCGATTCACGCGGGAAAGGTATCTCGCGCGAAGAGACTTGTAAAAGGTCACGCCGTCAAGCGCGTATGTAAACAAAACATTCGGTTCGTTCTCTCTATCTCTCTTTCTCTTTTCCACGCTGCGCACCGTTCTCTCTCTTTTGCTCCGCTCTGTATTCTACCTCACATTATCGCTTTTCTCGCGCGCGGAATCCCTCTCCTAAAGCTACTACGATCACTACGTGATCTCCACGCGCCGACTCGACCGGTAGACTCGTCTGTCGTTTCGTCGTGATTCCGTCGCGACGCCGTGGACTTTCCCGGTTTCAAGAACGCGCGGCGCGAAACTGCCGCCGCCGCCGTCGTCGTCGTCGTGTCGGCCTATATTCCTTGACCTATATAGCACCTCGTGCGTCATCGAGTCATCGACGTTTTCCCCGTTAACGAATATGTCTCTCTCTCTCCCCCCCTCTTTCGTATGCGCGCGGGCACGGACGACGACGTCGTCGTCTCGCGCGGTATTGTTTACGTCCTTACGTCGACGGCTGGTCCACTCGTTTTCTCGCCTTGTGGCTTCAATTGCGCGAGATTCAGAGAAATCGATACGCCACCGCGCCGTCGTTGTCGTCGTCGCACACGTGACAACGACGGGTAAACACACTCGCCGCGCGCGAGTTCGATTCCCACGTCCGGGAGAGTTACTTGTAAAGGCGGGAAAGTGCGACCGACGACTTGAACTCGCCCGCGCGGTACCGCTCGCCCTTAACCCTACCCCCGTACCGCCCCCGCGCCGTCGCGATCACCTTGACCGTGCGCACCCGGACAATTTTCGATAAGTGCCGTATACTGTAAAATTACACGCAACACGTGACAAGCACACCGCGGGAAACGATCATGGGATCACTTCTCGAGACACCGTCGCGTCCTAGAAGATATAACTGACGGCTGCGACACTTTAGCTCGACGTCCAATCTTGATCTTTATGTTAAACGAGACATCTTAATTTTCATAACCGTCAACGTTCGCTTCGTTTTACACGGACAAGAATCTAAAAAAGGAGAATGATTTATTAATTATTTAATTATTTTAAGTAGTGCTTGTTGCAGGGTGATCATTGAAAACGTCGAATTTAAAATTAGACTTGGACATACTTTTTCTTTACGTTTAATTATCATTCCGTTTTCGCTGTTTTTACCTTGATAAAAAAGGGGAGCGTAATCAAACAGACCTCCGTATAGATCCTGCGCTGGTCTTTAAACGCGGGTCCGAGACAGTGAGTTACGACTTTCGTTGGAAATTCGACGATAACAAACGCTAATTAAATCACTTCCGTCGAAACGCTTTAACTTGAGAATATTAACCTTTGGACGGAACCACTCGATGCATCGGATTTGAGTCCGTATCTCTCCAATCGATCGCCCGTTCGACTTTACTCCGATTTTTTCACTCTGTAATTATCTTGAGAGATATTTACGAAGGGCATATCGAATCACTCTTCTCATAATGAAATTTTCTAACGGGGAGGGCTATTTCGTAATGCCGGTCTTCCATAAAAATTTTCGTAACGAGCCTCGATTCGGAACGCGGTATTCACAGCGCATCCCCGAGTGCGTTGTGCAAACACGCGCGGATGTGTAAATAAGAGACTTGTTCTTCGAGGAGCAACAATCCGCGATACCGCTCTCCGTAGCGTGGAAGAGCAGCGTCCAGAATTACGTTCTCCGAGAGGAGGATTCGCGCAGGGATTCCTTATTTACAACATACCCTCGCGCACTTCGGACAATCGCGAGCACCGCGTATAACGAACGATGCCGCTGACGGAGACGACGACGACGACTGTCGGACGCGCGCACGTTCCACGTTCCGCGGACGATCCGGTCCGCGCGTGCGGGCGAAACTCTCGAGGAAAAAAAAAAGGGGGTTCGCGTTATCCGGCGCGGTATCGGCGCGATAGATAAGTCATTATGCAACGACAGAAGGCCTTCGAGAGAGAGGAGCCGCTTGGCGAGTTTGTTCGCTCGCGCGCGCGTCACCGCGCGCGTGAAACAGAGAGAGAGAGAGAGAGAGAACGACACTTGGGCGCGCATGCGCTGGAAATCCCGCCAAAACCATCGGTCGCGGGGAGATCTCGCGGAGCACGGGACTCGCCATTCTTCGAGCGCGACGTCGCGCCTCTCGCGCGCGCGAAACGCAGGGGACGGGGAGGAGGGGAAGGGAGGGCGAGGGAGAGGAGGAAGAGACGGGCGCGCGGAGGTAGGAACGTGGTGACCGGGAGGAGGGGGAGGGTAACGAGTCCTCGGAACGGAGGCGCCGGAGAACGGGTGGACGGGGTGGAGGAGGAAGGACTTATCGAGTGTCTGTTCGCGGAGCACTTCCTCACGACTTGGCGCACTTGCACGTCGCGTCGTTAATCGCGTCGTCGACGAGACACCGCGAGGAGGCGGCCGCCGCCACCGCCGCCGTTGCCTTGCCACCGACAGCGGCAGCAGCGGCGATCGGTAAACGAGAGGTGCCTTCACGTCACCAGAACTCGGCGGATTGTCACCGGGTTTACCTCTGCCCAGCCGCCGGACTCTACCGACTCGCGACTCTCGCGGCGAGCCACGAACACGCGGATCGAAAACCGCTCACGGACTACTACTGCGTGTCAGACAGATTCCGCGCGCGGGAATGTTGTGCGCGCGCTCTGTGCTCGCTCTCTTCCCCCCTGTCTCCGGGTGTGTGCGCGCGCGCATGCTACGGGGTATATATATATAGCTGTACACACAGAACATACACACACATACTTTCTCTCTCGCACGCGCACGTATATATGCTCCGGTACGCCGTCTCTGTCGGTCTCTCCATCAAGTTTTTCGCATACGTACAGCCGCTCGACATATACAGACAGACAGACAGACACACGCACGCACGCACGCACGCACACGCATACATAGCCAGACGCTCCGATTTTCTCCCGCTCGCTATCTCTCCCCTCTACCCCGCCGCCGTCGGTCTCTACACCAGCAGATTCTACAAATGCTTCCGTACCGTGTATACGTCTCGCGTGAACGTCTCCCTGCCGCGCTATGGAGGATGACCGTTGGCACTCGTCGTCACTCGCGGCGCGTGCCGCGGCGATGCTCACTGTGCGACGACGTACGCTCGACCGTGCGTTTCGGCAACTTTGATTTACATCGGGCCTGACGTCGCGCCGCGCGCGGTTTCGCTCGCACCGAACAACAACCACCACCACCACTACTACCACTACAAGAAGAACAACCACTACCACCAACACCGTCGCCGCCGCCGCCGCCGCCGCCGCTGTGCCCGCTGTCGTTGTCGTCTTCGTTATCGTTGTCGTTCTCGTCGCCGTCGCCGCTATTGTCTTCGTCGTCGCGAGATCTTTTCGCTGAATCGTTTATGCGGGTTCCCTATTTTATTTCTCTCTTTACTATAATCCGTATACGTGTATTCCCTCTCTCTCTTTTTTCCCTATGTATGTCGTGTATGTATGTATATATATATATACTTTTTTTGTACTTTTCGCGTTACGTGTATTATACGTGTTTATCGAACGTCGTGAGTGTTACTGTGGAGATAACATAACGACGGCGCGCCGGTTAACGCGGCGTGGCTACGGGCCTCTGCTCGTACGAACGTTCTGCCACATCATGATGTTTAGTTCACTAAACTAACCACTAGCATGGCGACCGACCGACCGACCAACCGACCGACCGACACACACCGCGGCGCGCGCTCGTCGTCGCTTACGCGCTTCTCGCCGCCGTCCGTCCCTCCGCCCCCCTCCTTTTTTACCTCCCCGCCGCGCTTCGACTCGGTTGCCTTCGTCTCGTTTCGCCACTGTTCGTTCCCTTCCCCTCCCACCGTCCCGGCCCTTATGCATATGCTTCTGTCGCTAACTAACCTCCCTTCTTCGCCGCCATCGCCGCGCCGCCGCGTCCATTTCGGCTTTGTCCGCTCGTCTCGTCGTGTGCGTGGCAAATGGCCACGCGACACTGCGTCGCCAATCACGTGCGCGCGCGCTCTCGCTCGCGCTCGCGCCGCGTCGTGGAGGATTGTGAATTCACCTTTAATGGCGGGAACACAAGCCGCGAGAAATGTAGTACACGGGGAGAGGAATGATAAGCGAGGTTATTACGCGCGATGATCCACAAGCAGTCTTCTTAGATGGCCCAATTTAATGATCCAATCTTCAGGAAGACAGATAATTGAAAGCACTGAATTATAAAATATGAGGCGTATAGTTAATAAAGAGCACGTCGAAAGAAAGGGGATTATTAGGTAGCGTATTGTATTCCTAATAAAACGCAATATGTATCTAGAGATCAAAAACGTGCAATTTTCTGCGTGATTCTATCCATTGAAATAGATGTTGAATTTCCATTCTTATAATGTAAACATATGCTTTTTTTTTCTTTAGGAAAAAGATACGTATGGAAATGAGGTAACGAGATTGGCGAGACCTTTGCCGGTAGAATATTTATTGGTAGACGTACCTGCGTCCACACCACTTACTCCACAGTTCACCTTTTTCACGGATGACAACATTACTCCATTTCCAGTTGAGAACAGGTACTTGCAGAGACAAATATGCAGACGTATACATATATAACATCAGATTTATTAGAATTACTCATTTTTATATCTCTATTTCAGGCAAGTCGATGGACAAGTTCAAGAATTCAATTCATTGTGCACCTACATGCAACAATTTAACAGCGATCAATTTATGGAGGCGACTTCTGATTTTCACTTGCTTCTCTTTATCGCCACTATGGATATGTATCCAATGAAGGTACAGTTTTCTCTTCAGTTTAAAAGTTGCAATGTCATTTTTATCATTCGCCAGTTACACCAGTTATTTCATCATATTTGTGACAGTAGAATATATTTTCCATTCATAATTTTCTTGTGTTATATGTGGGACTAGGAATTGAACTCGAGTCTCTCGTTTAACAAACAACTACTCTACCACCGAGCTATTCAACGAGGGCCAACGACTATTGATAAATATTTTGTTTTCACAGGACCACATGTTGCCGCTGCTCGAAGCCATTCGCAACAAGGACAAGCAGAAGGCGTTGGAGTGGGCCCAATCTGAGCATTGGGCGACGGTGGAGCAGCTCATATCCGTGACCTCCACGTCGTCGCGTCCACCGCAAACCTCGTCCTTTGGCAACAGCTCAAGAACACTGCCCGCCGCGACCGCGGAGGGCAGTGGCGTTGGTACCGAGCCGATCGCGAATCCGCCACCCGACCAAGCTCTCTGGACCTGTTCTCATTGCACTTTTCTGAATGCCGCGGACTTAGCAGTTTGCGAGATGTGCAACCTGCCAAGGTACTCGTAATAAACTGTCAAAAGCACTAACGAGGAAATTCAGTGTGCGTTTTAAAGGGGGTGCTGTCTTTGAATCTACTACTTCGCTTCCGCAGGATCTGTGACGCGTAACGTGTCCTCGCGGATATAACGATTGTTTTCTACGCATCTTTGGCCTTATTTATGAGTGAATAAAAAAAAAACAGGAAGAAAAGAACACCACAAAAAGTACTTTTCCGACTGACATATTCCTCTCCTACCAGGCTTTTCCCCGTAACACGTTTTTTTTTTATCTACAGCCCAGATTTGCAACAGTTCGATTTAGACGGCCTAGATATTAATCCTAGCAGAATGTCTTGTGAAGTTTTCACTTACAAATTGTTTTTAACGGATCGAAGATATTTACTATGAATTTTTTATATGTTTGCAGAGAAGATGTTGAGGAATATGACGAGGAGATGATGATGGATTTGTTTTGATAACAGAACCATGAGTTCAAGAGTTCAATCGAACCTAATGATGCTACAATGTTAGAAATTTGCGTCGATATTTTGACATTAGACAATTTGATCGTGATTGGATCCTGATGGGTGATCGTACAGATTTTATCTCATATATCTCTTATTTTTTCACAAATAATTTAATTATTATTTCTTGAGTACGGAAGATATACGTAACGTTTTGTGAGAAAATTTGCAAAGATACGGTTGCAAATGCATTATAAAGATATATAATTGATTGATAAAAAAAAAAAAGAATTAGAAGCACATGTAGGCTGTTCAAAATATTATACATGTCCACTGTTTACTTAAAGTATATTTCAAATAAAGTTTCTCTTATCGTTGATAGTAATTAACATGTACATGGACATTTTGCTGTCTCTGATGTCCTCCGTTCTCTTCGATCCTTACTTTGGTAATATGAATTCCTTGCAACTGATCCTCGAGACGACAGCGTCAGCGAGACTGGAAACACGCAGTTCGTCCTCGTCGATCTTGTAAGTCTTTTTTACTAGATTCACATCTGTAAACTCCGGTAACCTCGAAATGGGCATCCTCTCCCCCTTGACACTTCCCAAGACCTCATCCAGCATGGCTTGCCTCTCGCCAAGTTTGTGCATCAGTATCACCAGGATGTTCCTATCGCTGTCACTAATACCAAACTCGGACAAGGAGCGGGATATGTTCTTCGACATGGACAGGTAAAATAAGATCTCCGTATACACGGTCCTCGTGATCAGTCGATTTCGCGTAGCGTTGAGGGCGGCTTTATTGGCAGCCACCACCGCCTGAAGAGCATCGGTTATCAGCGAGGCTTTCACCACGCAACAGCGGAGCTCCCCGGCGACGAGTTTCTCGCGTATTTCGGAGGTATTTTCGACATTGGCGAATAAACACAACGTGTAATAGAACTCGGTCTCCTCGTCCAGCTCTGCGCTGTGATCATCCATAATAATTGATACAGACAATTGTCGATAATTAGAAGTGAGACAGTGTATCAGCTGACTCCGGTCGCTCGGATAATTAATCTCGTTCGGGTTTCTGCTAGAAAATGTGGCGATATTCGTATGTATGTACTTATGTATGTACACTCGCGCGTCGCGTCTCAGTGACAGCTGACAGCAGCTGACAAGCTACATATAAAAAGACCCGTATAATTCGAAATAAACAATATCGCTGATTCTACGAGAACGTGGCTGTTTTACACGCTCGAGGAATGACTTTCCGTACGCTAACGCCATCTCATAACATCGCAGCTGGAGCGGGAAGTACTAAGCAAAAAGTAAATGTTTTTATTCGTATGGTAAAAGAATAAGAGACGCATATGGTAACAGACGTATGATAAAAACTAAAAGCATATACTTTTTTGCTTAGTACTTCCCGCTCCAGCTGCGATGTTATGAGATGGCGTTAGCGTACGGAAAGTCATTCCTCGAGCGTGTAAATAGCCACGTTCTCGTAGAATCGTAGAAAGTTAAAAATATATTAGACGTCTTGAAATTTGCAGCTTTTCTACGAGAATATGCTCGTGTGTCATCTGTCAAATCTGAGATAATGTCGCGCGTTATGTTCTTGGTGCATGAAAATTGTGAATGATCATGATCGATACATTATTTTTATACGGTGACAAGATTGGAATAAAATTAATTTTTATCGCCCATTATGACGGATGATACATCGCAAGAGAATATTTTAGAACAATTATTGGACTACGGTAAATTTATTTTCCAGCAATATAAAAAGAGTTTGCGAGAAATGATCCTATAAATTTTTATCAATTAAACATACATCGTTATACATCTCGTATTCTATTTTATGACATATACGCATATAATAAAATCGTATTAAAATTATAAAATTTTTATCAACTAGTTTCTTTTATATTTTTACGAAAAGTAAGAGAAAAATGATGAATTATTTGTACAGTACAATTAGGAATAGAATGGAGTACAGACAAACTTAGGTCAGCGTGTCCTTCTATAAAGAGAAAATTGAAAAAAGAATGTAAACCAGAGAAAGCTGAAGATGACATAGGTCCACCTTGCACAGAGCACCCGCGATCTTACATACTTCCTAGTCAAATATGTCCCAAAACGGCCTCTTGTTGCTATATAAAAATGCAGGTACAAAATAAAAATCAAAACTATTATCATATATATTTCCTAATATAAATTAATTATCGGAAAAACTTGAATTTTCTTATTTGTATATTGAATGATTCCCTGCATTATTAATTATATATTCTAAATCGTAATCCAGATAAATATGTCATTGCTCCTTTTATAAATATATTCTTCAATTATTCAATTATAAATATATTTTATAATTGAAATTAATTTCAACTCAATGAAATTAATAAAAGTGCGAGAAATTATTGGAATTATTTATAGGATTTAGCAAATTTTTAAGCACAAATAGAGTGAAAAAGACATACATGTGTGTGTGTGTGTGTGTGTGTTAAATAAATCTTTATAATAGACAATCTCGATTAAAATGTTATATATATTATCCTCAATTCTTTTTTTATTTAAAATTAATCAAAAACTTCGTGTATAAAATTTTTATGTGTGCCCCTGACTTACTTTATTCTTCTATCGCAATTGTAATAATTTTCAGGATCCTTATGCCCCACCCTGTTGCGAGACGAAACCCCAACCACCCCCTTGCCCCCCCAAAGGCTATCGTCGGCAACCACGAGAACCAACCTGCGGCTGCGATCTCTGCAAAAAGAACGTCGATAGCAAGTGCTGTAATCCGATCGCGGCTTTTCACACTGCAGCCAGCAATTTCAAAGCATAAAAATTGGTAAGAATCAACGTCAACAGATTGCATGCAAGAAGACACAAGTAGTAAATACATATTAAAATAGAAAAAAAAACGAAGAAGATAATGGCGATTAAATACAATCATCCGCGGATAATCAGGTTTTCTGGTACACTCTATATATTTAAATGTATAATGCTCCTTTGATATATGCTTTCCCTTTCTTTTTCTCTCTTTCTCTTTCTTTCCTATGTACTTATCTCTCTCAATTATTTATGGCAATAATTTTCGCACAAATCGGCATTTTGTGCGATTTGCTTCTCAGCTCAGATGATTAGATAATCTCTGTGGCCTCAAAGTTCTAATAGTAATATACGTTTACGTAAATCGATACGTATTTTTGTCGTAAATATTATCAAAATATTTATTAGGTGGTTAGAATAACAAATTACTTTTTATCTAATAATAAAAATTTATTTATTTTTCAGTGATCTACGCGGGTATTATCTCCTTTCAAATTCTGCTCTTTCTATGTCGCGGTAATATAGACAAGAAAATGTAACGATTTTAGTAATATGATTAAACAATTAATAGTTGCCTTCGCAATTATCTTAGCGTAATAAAGCAAAATATATTAAATTAAATATATTAAAGTTTCAAGCGGAAAGACCTTGTATGTTTCAGTTTGCCGCGCAGAATTCTCTGGAATCGAAGCGATCGTAATAATATAAATTGCGCGCGCAGTTGATCGCAGTTAAACTCGGGGAAGGTTAAATTTAGGTATTTCGTTCGCTTCTGGTCAGAACACACGTACTCGACATATCATCAACTAACGAGTAATCTTATCGGTAAAACGCCAGTGACGGTGCAGGCCGAGTCAGTTAATTGTCTCCAAGTACACCCGATATTCTGATCGCTTCAAGCTGCACCGAAGATCTTCTTTTAAAGTAAGTCACGTAAATCAGTATAATATACCTAGAATTGAAAATGGTATGTTTTTTCGTCACGTATATTCCTACAATCGCCCATTACCATTTTATATCGTACTTTTCGTCCCACTGGAACGATATCTGGTAATGCGAAATTTAATATGGACCTATATCGTGAGGTAAAATCTAAAAAGCACTTTATTGCAATCAACTACATATAATACACATATTTAAGCTATAGTCATCAGTCATTGTTGCATCAGTATTTTCGGATATGATCGACGCGCCATTAACGCGAACACGTCAGTTCTTTCAATGGCATATCTAATTAAGAAAATTTCTGTTTGTACATTATTATTTATACAGTGAATTTTATTTGAATTTTCGATTTCATGAAGACGATCAATATATCAGTTATTCAAAAAACGAACACATGTTGAGAAGTCACAAATTTTATTATATATCTATATAATAATATCTACTAATATATAATAATATTAAATTAAATTTTAATATTTAATTTTTTTTATTGATATATAGTAATATTAAATTTTGATAATATAATAAATGAGATCCAGCATTATCAAATTAATTTAAAAGAGCTTTCTCTCTTTTTTTTTCTTTTTCTAACAATTCTTGCTTTTTTCTTTAATTTCTAATTTTCCGAAATTTTCCATCCGATCGTTTCCGATTGATCATACGTAATTAGCCTGCTAATGTCACATAGACGATTTTATCACGATGATGAAAGCGATGAATCGCTAATTCACAACTGGTGAACGCTGAGCTGTTCGCCAACTCGACACCTGTTGATAATTCGTTTGTCAAGCATGCCGGGCATGCGTGCCTTGCCTCTGTCGACCAAAACGCCCTGTCGACCACGGCGATATTTCGACCTGCTGTAACGCGCGCGAGTAATCGCACGAATACTAGAATCGATCGAAACTCGAAGACGATTGACATGGTAGACGAGTGAGTGCGAAGCGCAAGAGAGAATTAATCAATACGGTGCGGTTGCGTATGAACGAATCTCGAAAGTCACCAAGTGCCACAAGAATCTCGTGTTTGCTGCTTTTGCTGTCAATCGCCGATTGGTAAATTGACACGCATATTTATTATAATGCTTGCCCTACAACAAGTAACGTGTGTCGTTTCGTCCCTCGTGACTCGCGTATGAATCATACCCATCGCAAGAAAACACGTTATAATTCTGACGTCAATATTTAGATGTGTACCAGCATTAGCTGTGTTTCTAGAAACTGTAAGAGAAAATAATTACATTTAAATAATTAAATCATTAAAGTTACAAATATTTAATCGTAATTAAATAATAATTTTACTCTATTATATCGATATGATCTATATAATAATTAATCTACATAATTGTCAAAATAGCGTCTTAATAGAAAATTTTTATTTCTTTTTTTTAACATTAATTAAAGTAAAAAAGTAGATTTTTTTTCGTTAGTATCGATTGATGATATCTTATTGACATATCTGGAAGTTTATAAATCTACGAGAATTAAAAAATCTTTTTTTTGTATTCTACAACTACTCTAATTACAATAAAAGTACAAAATTTTAAATAAATAAAAATATCTTTTGTATTCTTCGAACAGCCTCGCATTAAAAACTATAGTGATAATTTATTAAAGGTCGACCATTCATACGTTTGTACACGAAAGACCTTGAAAACGGTGTAGGAATACGATATAGGAATACATTATGAACTTATATAATAAACGTAAACATATTTAACATAATTAATAGTATAGAGTAATATTATTATCAAATATAATTGTCTCCATTTAATTCGAAGAAGTAAAAACGTTGAAAATCAAATTTTCCATAAGGAAGAAATATATTTATAAAATATCTTGATAATAATAAAAGAAAATAGAAATCATACGAATTTTTAATAAATATGTAACTCCAAATTCTCTGCGATAATTAAAATTAATTTTTTTAAATTAGATTCGTTGTTTCTTTCCAAATTAAATGACTTACTTGTCATTCTCATCTATTTTTTTATTTCACTGTAACTAATTAAGCTGTAAAAGCAATTAAAAGCTTATTAATCGTCTCTCTCTTCTCTCATTCTTTCTATACGTTTTCTTTCTCGCACACATTCTTCCTACTTATTCTGCAGATATAGAATTCATGGAATTTCGGGAAAACCGGAATGTGTTTGTGAATAAGATTTTCTTCTCTTATCGGGCTGTCTTAAAAACTAACGGTGATTTGTAGCAGGTAGAAGAAATAAAAATAGCCGATCGCTCTGCGTAATTTGATGACGCAGGCTGATGTTACATTGTGTAACAAGGAAAGCACTTGGGTTTCTACGTTTATTTTCTTATACATATACATATATAATATGTAGTTACGTTCGTTGAACTTGCAAAAAAATTTATATACGCTCTTAAATTAATTTGCAAAAATAACAGAGTTCACAGACCTCAAGTTGAAATTAATAAATATGAAAGTTAAATTTTTGCACGCAAGTTTATACGAAGCTCCCTGTCTCACTCAATTAAGTAATCGAGTACATTAAATAAATTTATACTTAAATAACTTTTAACACTCGAGGCAGAGCCTGAAATAGCATGCAAATTTGAAAAGGATTAAGAAACCGTCTATTTAGATTTTCGATATCGTGTCTATACTCTCGAAATATTTCACTCGTACTTAAGCCGTCGTCCTTATCGCAGGACTACGATATTAACAAGTTATAACGTCTTAAACTATAGGATAATCCCGTAGAGTAACCGGTTTTGCCACGTAATATATCTTCACGCGACTTTTTCCTGTTGGTCTTCGTAGGAAGCATATTTGTGTACGCCGATGGATATAAACTCGGCTGTATTGGAAGATACTAATAATGTCACAGCGATATATATTCGTGTCTGCTATAGTCTACTGCAAAATAGCAACGTAAAATTCATTAATTGAACAAGATTAAGTAAATTTTCCCGTGTTACATGATACGCGTAATTCGGTGGAAATTCCAACGCATTTTATTAACATCATTAAGAAAGGAAAAAAATTAATACGCATTAATATGCGTTTGTTGTAATTAGTATGCCGAGTGCAATGCAATATTTAGCTTATATAACTAAGCGAAATGTAACATTACAATAATTCGGAAATAAGAAATTAAATTTTTCTTTCTTTTTCTCATCTTATTTTTCTAAGTTTTGTCTCCTTCTGTTTTCTTTCCCATGTCTTTTCTGAGCCATGAGGGGCTTTTAAAAGGCGAGAGTATGTAAAAAAATGTAGATAAAGCGCACCTGCACAAATGTTTGCATGATTATGAGGATCAAAGTGGAGGGAAAGTGTTAGTACGTTTATGAATTTAACCTTGCACTGGGCAACTGGTTTCCTAGAACTGGTTTCGTACCTTGTACAGTAAGAATAAAATAAACTTCGCTCAGTGGGATCTTTCCACTAGTAATTCCAAAAAATACGAGAGCTAGAATTTTCTATATTAGCTTGGGCTGCGTTCCAAAACTTTACTCAGGTAACTTAAATCTATAGTTAACGTGACGTAAACTACAGAGTTTTGGTTACCCGAGTAAGTTTTGGAACGCAGGCCTGTAACTTTAAAATTGTGAGCAAATGAAATGAAGTTAAATAAAAAAAAAATAGACATACAAAACGAAAAAATATCATGATAAAAGGAATGACTTAGGCTGCGTTCGGAAAACGCGTTATCAGCGCTATTCTGTCATTTTTATTTTTATCGCTAATTAAACGTAAAACAAGGACAAAATGATACAATAATGGTGCAATAGTTTTTCCAAACTTTAATGAGACGCTGAACGAAGCAGGGAATCGAACACATAAATTGAAATCTCTGTAATTTCGGTGAATTAAAATCTCCAATGCTGTAACTTTGTGAAAATAGTTCTCGCGCCAAGTGTCGTTTTTTTTTTATTATATGAGAATCAGACGAATTATTTTCATGTGTCTCTCAAGCTTCGGGGAACACTGGGTTCAATCTCCGCGGTTAAAGGAAGCGCGTCTCCTCGCGTTCGCCGTCCTTGAATCGCGCTCGATCTAATTGCAAGCCGACGATCGGCGTGAAAAATCGACAGTCGGCTTTCCGCGCCGAGGAAGCGAGGAAGGAGGCGGTGATCGTCGTGAGCGTTGCGCTTTCGGATCTCCCTCGAATCGTATCCGCGCCGTCTGTATTCCGAGCCGGGTGTGACGCGGGTTCCCCAGGGTCGCGATCGGAGATCGATTAAGGAGCAGCGGTACCGATTCGAGCCGCACGAATGCGCGCTTCCTCACGATTGGTCGTGCCGCTACGTCTACGTCGACGGACTTGTTTCTCTCGGCGGGGGCTGGGGTTTTCCTAAGGAGATATTTTATATTCTCGCTCGCTCGGATCGTCCTCCGCAGTAAGCATTCGGTGCTCGAAGGAGACGAATTTGTTGCAACAAGATGCGTACGCGTAAGTATAAGACTCAGCTAAGTGACATGTTTCGATGAATGCATTTGTGATGTCTCTTAATCGTGGAGATAACCCGGCATAATTTCGCGGAGATTGCGAGACACGTGAAAATAATTCCCAAATTCTTTTTATGTGAAAAACAATTGGCATTATTATCTGCATCAAAAAAATTGAACCAAATATCAAAATTGTATATTTAGACTTTTTAATTTGTTTTACGTCTGTAAAAATATCTTCGTCTGAAAATCTTATAAATTAGAAAAATTCTTATTAATTATATATTGTGTATAATCTTTCATATTGTTTTCTTAAATTTACATTCATATAATATTTCGATACCATAACACGCATGTTTAATACGTAAGCAAATATTTCCGACTGCTCCGATCAACGTACTTTGACAACAACGTGATCCCAAAGTCAATTTTGTTTCGTTTCTTGCTTATATTACCTTTCACATAACTTTGACATAACAAGTATTTAAAAAATATGCTTTATTTATCGAGAATTTAAGAAAACGTTGCAACAGATTGAAGATAAAAGAAAGAGAATTCGTGCGAGAGGATATTCGAGAGCGAATATGAAAGAGAATAAACTTGAAACGCGCCTGTCTTAAATTAGGTTTTTTTTAGTTTCTTATTTCCTTTCGCGCCAACAAGATCAAATAGATCATTAGATACGATTGCCTTTATAGTCGCGATAATCCTAAATGGTCTCTCTCTTTCTCTCTCTCTCTTGCTTTTTCTCTCTTTCTGTGCAAGAACGTCGTTATCGGACACACAAGTCTTACCGAATCCCCTTTTGATACAACGGCATCTTATCGATACGCACCGAATTGACGTATTGGCGATAATGCTATTCGGCGAGTCGTAATTCTTGACTCGTGCTGATGGCGGTTGCTCCAAGGTGATCCATGCCGGATACCATTCTCGCTCGCGGTGTGATTCATTTTCAGAGTTGCGCAGTGTGAACTTTTCTTTTATCAGTTAATTAGTATCGTCACATTGGAATCAACCAGATGTCTTGCATTTATAAAACACGATGCAGTTGCGTAAATTTATGATTGCGTATAGATCTCAATAACGATTACACGATTTTCCATACATGTTGCACATCGTGCTCGAGTTTTTTTTTTTATCAGACACGAAAGGAAGATTTAATAAAACTTAGAAGAAGCAATCTCAGTATTTGTTATTTTGAAATTCATCGTCATACAATTACGTGAATTACGTATGATTTATCATATATTTTATGAAAAGCTAAAGTGAGAATATAAGAAAGAATATATGTGTGTAGTTTTTTTCTTGCAAATATACTAATCTGTTGTTGCAGAATTTTACAAACGCTTTTTTGCACTGATTTCACTACTCATCGATTTATGTCAATATTCAACGTGCACATCATCCTTCTTCTAGCTATGGATGTAGAGAAATAAATAAGATAAAGTATGTTTTAAAAAAAATGAGATAACTCTCAAAGCGTTCGATTCACGGCGCATGGATACACAGTAACTTTTTTCTATCATATCTTAATTCCGATAATATTTATTTTGCACTTGACGTTATTGTGCAACAAATTACAACGAAGTACACTTTTATCGTTCACATCAAACAATTTTACTTTACGCGAACTATAATCTAAAATAGTCATACAAATATTACGACTCACAAAAACTATTTATATCTTCATAAATTCGCGTTACACGAACGCGCACGACTTGTCATTTACTTTTAATTTACATTAAAAGCATTTCACATAAATTACTTTTAACATAAAATAAAGTGCAAAAATTGCAAAAGAAAAACAAAAGTGTTCTTAACAAAGTGATTTTAAATCTTTTGTAAAAACTCCTGTAAAATCTTACACGATCATAAGATAGAGTTTCGCGTCATCAACAGCAGGAAAAGAAAAAAAAAAGATTCAAATGAAGAAGAAACTTGTAATTTCCCGGAAATTTCTGTTGGATAAATTGTAGTTATATAGGAAACTTACAACTCGAACACATTAATTGATCAATTAAGTTTCGATTATTCGGTGTTTCTATCCAAATTCATGTTTTAATGCAAATTTTTTTCTCAATTTCTGTTTAACACGTGAAAATCATGCTCTTCCGAGAAAGAAACTGTTGTAATTAACGAACGAGATTGCTGTTGTATTTTGATCCGCCTATCCGTCGCATATGTACATCTAATTGTCATACATGATTAGTCGTACGCACATAATGCGACTGTTACATTAGTATCTTAATGGGTTTTCCCCGACGAGGCACCAGGAAACATCATCAGTTTAATGGTCCTGCGATAATCTCGTTTGTTATTTCTACTGTGTCGTTAAACGTAGTGATATCTAATCTATTTTTATAGTGGCTAATTCTTACTTTAAATAATTCTTTTTAATTAGGGAATTAGACAAACAGCATGTGCACAATATTTCGCAATACAAATGATATTTAAATTACTTGGTATAAAAGATCTATAAGTGTCATTCTTGGAATATTGAATTTCTATCAAGATTAACAGTGTTACATAAATCTGTAAATTCTGTGTGCGAAAACATTAAGAAAAATTAAAAATAATGATTCTCTTATAAAGTAATGTGATTTCTAACAAAAAATATTTTAAGTATATCGGTTTTCACGAAATTTTTATTTTATTTTTTTTTTTTGCTTATAATTTGCTCACGTCGTATTTTTATTTCATGTTTTGAGAAAATATTATATAATTATTATAAACATAACTTGATGTAATTTATTTTTGATTTATATTCTTGTTACGAACACAAAAATATTAATAAATGTTAAATAGACAATCTATTATTAATAATATTTTTTGCACAGATCGGCATATGACGACACGTAATATGTACATATTTTACATTCTTTTCCCGATCGTTTATATTACACAACAACGTAATTACATGTACAGAGTGTCCCAGGTTCATCATCCTCCCTTCAATGACAAACGCTGAAGGCTAAAGAATAGCCTGTTCTTTTAGCATCAAATATTATCAATTTACTGAATTAAATAAACTGAGAAAGCTAATGAATTCGATGACTTAAGCGTTAAAAAAAAAACAGATGACGAAACTGAACATGAAAATGTAGGCATCATAAAAAATTCAATTTGATCGTGATAATTTTTTATTCATATTGCAAAATAAGATTTGAAGAGTTTAGCTTGACAAAAAGTTATAATTTAAGCATTCAAAAAATTAATCTTTAAGTTAAATTTACAGAAGAGATTAGTTGAAACAAATATTTTTGAAAGATGATGATCCTCTGTGTAAATGACCCGCATACTGACACCTCGCTAACGGTCGCGTTATCGCCATTTATATAATTGTCAAACTTTTGCCCTCTGTTAACTTGATAGAACTCGAGGTCGTATATCTGCTGAAGTAATATTTTCTATTATCGCGCCTGTTATACGGTATCGCTGCCCGTATTCTTGTTTGTCGTGGCGTCCCTCGTCTGGCTTTCTGAGAAATGTCTCTGGGGCAAGTTCGACTTTCCGATTTTACTTAACAGTTGTGAAAGAGCAATTATTTCTCATTGGAATTTAAATGATAATTATTAATTTAAAAAAGAGAGAATAAAACGTCTTTGCTTTAAGCACGAGCAAAATATACAACTTTTTGAAAACAAGTTTATATCGTGCAATTAAAGAAGATGACGAACATCGATGTTTGGTTTAAGTCATTTGTCTTGAATTTACACATGTTTATGAACTGAGTAATCATTATTTATATAATTGCTCGTTACGTGGCTTTTGGTCATATAAAAATTTTCTTCGCGAAATTTGAATTGTATTCCTACTTCGTTAATTCTAATTTAAAGAAAAAATCTAATTCTGTCTATTCTCTATAATCTATTATTTTTTTATCAAATTAAACAACAATGAATCAAAATAATTGTTATGCACGTATTAATATATCATACACATAATTGGTAACGTATTAAAATCATAATCGAAAAGTATGTTCAATTCACGTGTAATGTATGGAAACGTCCAATTGATATGACTTACATTAAACATTCAATAATACCCGACGTATGAAAATTATGAAAAGTGTTCTGATTATTACATTTGTAATTCTTGAGTACCGTTACGTAATGATCGTAAATAATTACTAATCATTATCATCTTTACGACATGCATATCTGATTTATCATGATAATTCGATTAAAAAACATGGTGACAAAGATAATAAAATTAATACGAGAAATGTACTAATGGTTGAAAGGTATGCAAAATATTTAATTAAATAACTTTGTTAAATTTTTTAAATTGATGTGAATGACAAGTAGAGTAAATCATTATTACAGAAATATTTTTTTTCATCATTCGAATTTTTATAAATATTTGTGTCATTTTACATACATGCCTTGTGTCGCTGAATAACTACAATCCCTTAAAGACTCGATTTTCACATTTGCAAATTTTCGAGTAAATTTATCGATCGATAAACTTTAGTTCCTAAAACGTCATTTCATTACTTACATAAAAAATAACTTTGTTATTGGTCTTCGAATCATTTTAATCTTCATATCGCTTCTTGAAAGCACTCATATATTGTGCGGGTGCGCAATATGTAAACATGTGCATATAAAGTTTGTAGCGATGTGGTAGTTTCGTGTTCACCTTGGACGACATGTCTGACACTTTATTTCGATTTGTATACGACCTTCGAGCGCAAGTGTTCGATTTTCGACTGTAATCCTACAATGCTTAAAACGACGATTTTTGATGCGACGTTATTATTTCAAAACGATACGTATTTTACACATATTTTATCTCGCCACATTGTAATATCGGATTAGAAAAGAGAGACGTCGTTTATTTTCTTTTAAGTACGATCGTATAAGTAAAAGTATTTAAAAGTTTATGTCATTGTTAGTATTAAAATTAATGAACTAGTAAAAATAATAATTTTAAGTTTTCTTTCTTTATTACTCTCGACTATAATTCGCATACATGTTAAATTTTGTGATAAATTTACTATTGAATCTTTTTCTCTTTTTGTTATTACAGTACAAAGAAGTTTTTTGGCATTTTGCCTGTTTGCATCAACCATGGCCACGCCAGTTGGAGATAATTTGGCTGCTCAGGCTGTTTCTCAGGGCGCCAATTTGTTCTCTACCAACTTCGTCAAGGTATGGTAATTCAGTTTAAATATTCTTAAAGCTCTATTAAATTTTAATATTGTACACAGCCTAATTGTGCTATTTATTAATTTTATATCACGCGATTATATATAAATAATTATGAGAAAACAGCTTTGACAAAATCTGTATGACTACTAATTTTAATATACTAAATATCGCATATCAGTAAATTTAATGGTGAAATAATCGAAAGGAATGCCTGATTCTTCAATCACTTTGATTAATTTTCTGGTATTTGCAATGAATGAAGCTTTCATCGTTAGTTTGAAAAAGTAATGTTCATAGCGAATAATCTTTTTTTTAGACCGTTTCACAAGACCACCCAAACAATTTGATATGCTCTCCCCTGAGTGCCCACATCGCCTTGAGCATGGCGGCTGACGGCGCTGCCGGAACTACCGAGGCACAGTTTAAAGATGTTCTCAAGCTTCCAGCCACGAAACAACAGACCCTGGAAGGTTACCAGAATCTCATCGAGAAATTGAATGTAATTATCAAATTACGATATATTGTAATACAATACGCAGCTTAGAGAACATAAAAATCCTTAAAATTTGTAAATATTTTCTGAACTATCAAATTATAGCGAATTATTTATAAAACATGATCTTTATAAAGAGAATGCAAATATTCCTCATGTAATTATTAAACTACATCATGAATTACTTATCTACCGAATCAGTTTTAATTTTGTAATATATTTTATGATTGACAAATAATATTAATGGGAATGGTGGAAAATTATTCTTGCAGAATGTTGAGAATGTTACTTTGAAGCTCGCCAACAAGTTGTTTCTCGGCAAAGATTTCCCGGTAAAACCTGAATACAAACAGGATCTCATAACGCACTATCACTCCGACATTCAATCGGTAGACTTTGCTAAAAGCGAGGAAGCCGCGAATACCATCAATATCTGGTGCAAGGATAATACTAACAATCGCATCGACAAAATCGTTACTCAGGGTAAATATATTTACTGTGCAATTCTACAATGATTGAAAATGCGATTTTTGTATTTTTTTAAATTTGTACGAATAATTTAACATAATTTAGAAAATGAATCGCAAAGAATGTAGAAACTCACTAAAGCGCTAAATACTTTGGTTATCTGTAGATACTATAATTGTTATATTTTTGTAATTATATAAAAGTTTACTGGAATATTGAATTAAAAGAATGCTCATAATTTTTATTATCGATAACAGACGATTTGAATGATGATACTAAGCTGGTGCTCGCAAACGCCGTGTACTTCAAGGGCCAATGGGCACACCAGTTCGATCCGCAGGCTACCTCGAATCGCCCATTCCATGTTAGCGAGTCCAACCAAGTAGAAGTTCCAACTATGTACAGGAAGGGCAACTACAAATACGCCGAATTGCCGGAATACGATGCTAAATGTATCGAGCTGCCGTACGCGGTAATGTTGCTTTCTCATAAATTTTCGAAAAAAATTTAGAAAATTAAACGAGATATTTTGCCACAAACGTGTTTCACGGCGAATATCTCTTTATGGGCTTTTAATTTTTCTTGTCGCAGAATAAAGAGATCAGCATGGTGATTATCCTACCTAATCAAATTAACGGTCTGGCTGCGCTGACCGACAAACTTGCTGAAGTTAGCGCGGAATGCAGCACTCGCCTCGCGCAAACGTACGAACGCGAAGTCCGACTGTTCCTGCCCTTATTCAAGACCGAGTCCAAAATGGATCTTGGCGATACATTGAAAACTAAGGTACGTTCGTATACGCCAATGTTTCGCCGATAATTAATCAGTAACATAAATTTGATGTATCTTATTTGTGATTTTATTTGCTATAGATGGGCCTTCCTGAACCGTTCTCCAATGCGGCTAACTTTAATGGCATTTCCGACATACCTCTGAAGATCGACAAAGTCGTGCAAAAAGCTTTCATCGAAGTTAACGAGGAGGGTAGCGAGGCGGCCGCCGTCACTGGTAAGTACACCTTGCTTCGTTTCTTGTACTTTTGTTTGTGGTAAAAAACAGGCGAAATATTATTTTGAAACTCCGCGTATAAGTAATCATTAAATGCGAGAAGAGAATAGGCAAGTCAAATATTGTAATTTCCTTCAGATATTCTTTATATTTTTGTCTAGCGTTTTATTATTCCTTTTATCTCTTGTTGCTTTACAATTGTATACTATTTATTATTTATGACTTCAAAAGAAAAATGGTAACACATAATATTTAATTCATCAAAAATCGAATTGCAAGAGAAAAATAATAATAATGCATATATTAATTTCATATCAAGAGCAAGATGATATTTTGCCTAATTTTATTTGGGATACATCGAGATTCTTTTTCGCTTCTGAGAAACTCTGAGAAATTGTTTCGGAGAAAATTTGATTATGCCTGTGTACAATCACGCTAATCGTGTGCTTCACGATTCCAAAATTCTAAATTCCTCTCGGAGTTTCCGCGGCACGGATGTATGTAATTTTGTACGCTGCCGTGAAGCTGAGTGTGATAGCTAAATGTTGCTCACATGCTTTCTACATCAACAGATTTACTAGTCTGCACAGCATGCCTTTCGTCCGTCTGTTTTTTCTATTTTTTTGTTGCTTTCCTTTGTATCTTTATTTTTGCCAACATACTATTGCATTGTTAATAAGCGCTTTATACCACCGCACCGCACCGCACTGCACCGCAGGTTTGTTTGATTATGCACCTGTTACTCACGTTGCACTTATTATGATATTACTACCGTCAGACAACGACAATCGTATGCAATAACGTATTGATATTTATCTAATCTGCTGTTTCGATAACAATCGAAATATCTTATAATTAAAATTGTATGTCTAATAAATGGAGCGCGTTTCAGTGTCATGACTATTGACACTTGATGAGTGCTCGCTTGATGAGTGACTTAAATCTTTCATGTTATTAACATGAATGCATTATGGTGATAATAGCATAGCTTGTCTTCGTATCACCAAGTTTCATTTCGAAGGAACGGTTCATGAATTTCTGCAGCGCTCATTTCTAAAAACAAAATTGCGCGAGCGATTGGATGTGAAGTTGAAATAAACTTTCACATTCACCTCGACGTTGAAATTATCTTTAATAAACTTAGAATACGCGTCTGTTGATGTTACCGGGGAATTACGGTTCACGGTTCACGGATGATAAGGATATATTCGCGATAACAGCTGTATTTGCGAAAACAAAATTTATGATCTCACTGGAATATGCTAACCATAATACCAAATATACCTCGATCTAAAGCTGAACTATTAAGGAAAAAGAGAGAGGAAGAAATTCTCGTGAAAAATCTTTCGAGCCTTTCATATATAACTATATATCATGAAAAGCGCGTAATAAATGAGATTCTCGTAATGATATTCATCAATCGAGCTACCAATCTTCGACGTGAATAGTTACAGCATCATTACATCGTACGATTACATTATATCGACAAAATAGATTAATTACGCTTTTTCCCGATTCGATACATTTGACAACAAAGTATATACGTCTGGTACATCTGATTAGATTGAACTTTTTCAATTTAATGAGAAAATTGACGAAAAAAGATGTGAACATAATGAGTAATCTGTACACTGCACTGAACCGATAAAACATTTTGAATAAATGATTGACTTTTATAAAAAAAAAACCGAAAAAAAACGAGCGATTTTTTATTGCTTGACTCACTGATTTCATTGCAATCAGTGATGCATCATCACGCTAAATTCTTCTTTCCCTTTTCTGCACTCTTAACTAGTTTCTACGCTCTGATCAAATCCTAGCATGACACGACTAATATTCAATTCAATCATATCTCATCTGAACATTTCACACGTGCTCTGGGCATCCAAGAGCGCATCCATTGAAACGGATAATTGATACAAGAAATGATCTTCTGACAGGTGCCTCTGTCAGACCTCTTTCGGGTACTTGGAAACCGGTGGAGCCTATATTACTTCGCGTCGATCATCCTTTCCTGGCGATCATTAAATACAACAACGTTACGTTATTCGTAACGAAGATCGTGTGGTAGTGATAATGAATATTTATATCTTTCCGCGTAATGATAGAGAATAGTGCTTTTTTATATGTTAATACGCGCGCGACAAAGACGCGGATACTTTTTTTCATTATTCATGTATTTTTATTACGTACTCTCATCGATACTCAATTTTATTAGCCGAAAAAGAAAAAAATTTTTCGACGATGTGTGATTAATAATAGATGCTCGATTTATAAAGTACATACATCTTTGTATGAAATGATCTGATAGTATCTTGTGAAGCATGACAATATTTGTATAATAATATAAATTTCGTAAATTATTTTTTTACCGCTTAAATTAAATGTAGTTATGCACACGTTCAAAAATGTGCAGTTTTTATGACATATTTAAGTAGACACGTGATTATTATTAAAAAAGACACTATTTTTCTTTTAATTTATTACACGTATTATGTGATATGTACTGAATTACCCTCAAAATAGATTTAATTATACAATTTTATATAATATAATAAAATAGATTTAATAACACAATTTTATAATATTTTTAATTATATATAATACATGCATTTTTTTAAATATTACTCTTTCATATAAAACCATCAAACATTTAAAGAATTTCTGATAATTCTATGAGAATAATTTACATAAACTTAAAATACTTATAATTGGTGGCCATTTTAATAATTATTCTTTTCCTTTTTATTTTTATAGCTTTATTGTGTTTTCACGTGAGAATTCTCTTAATCAATATTTTTATTTTTGTTAGTTATTTTATTATTTTAATATATTTTATTATTTATTAGTTTGTTATTATTTTTTATTTGCTAATTTTTACATACAATACAACATAAATTACGGGAATTCGAAGTGCATTTAAATCGGTTCAAAGGCACTATTTTTTAGTAATTTTAATTTTTACGATATGATGTTTATTTTTTCCTTCTCTGCATTAAAAAGTATCTATAATGAACTATAATTATAAGATTATTATAAGACTATATTATTATTGATGTTAATATCTCATATAAAAGAAATTTTAATGTTAGCTTTCTAAAATATTAATCTAAAATATTAATATATATAATATCACAACAATAATAATACAATTTTATATATAACATAATTTTATAATATTTTCAATTATATATAATACATGCAACTTTTCTAAATATTACTCTGTGAGAAGTATATAAATTTCTTTGTGAATGAAAAATTAAAGCTACGTAAACAAATGTCCTCTTTAGGCCAATTCGAATCCACTTAAAAGCACTTCGATGCTTCTCTTGGTTGCTTTTTCAAATCTTAGTAAAAATTACATGGTAGAAATATGACATTTCTCTGGTAGGCATCAGCAATCGAAGATTTCTACCTGATTTCGAGAACTTCGAAGCGAACAGGCCGTTTTCATTCGTAATGCGATGGTCAAATATCGAACTATTCCGAGGCATCGTGCATGATCCGAGATTATGAAGTTAACGAGATGTGTCGCACGTGTGAACATCATAAAATGCGGTAGCAGCTAAACACGATCCTGTAAGATCTTCTATTAATCTGCTTACCCCTTTTTCTCTCTTTCTCTTTTCACACAGATTTTATCACTTGCGATCATTGCTATAGTTTCACTACATTTTGCAAATAATTGATTATCTCGCAATTTCATGCAGTGACATGATTATTGTTTTATTGGGATGAATAATTCAATTATATGAATATAATATAAATTCGAATAAATTCAGCGCTAGCGTATTATAGCAATAATTATAATTGGTAGCAGAGCGAGAAGAGAACATTGGAGGAGAAAGATATTTTGTCAAAGAGGGCCAAATCAAATTCGACGTATGCAAAGCATACATTCGTGCAGGAATTTTGCATTGACGAAAATTATGAAAAAGAAACGATGTCGTTAAGTATTTCGTTACAGGATGTTATAGGATGATTATATTGATATTTTATTCGCAGGAAGTCAAACTGTGTTACTTACAATTAGACACACGCTGACATTTGAAATAAATCGACCGTTTTATTATTATATACGGTATAACGATCGTTATAACAAGAGATTGTTCGTATCTTCGTTCAAGGATCATGTGACCGCGTGAGCGTGGCAAAGATATGTATTACGCGAATCATTTTTAATCTGAAAATTCAGATACGATGTTCGATACGTTTAATATTTATTAGCATACTTAAGCCACAAATTCTAGTTGACAGCTTGTTATGACTGTTGTTTTAACGCCTTCTTAATACTACGATCTCATTTTAACTGATTCTAAAATGTCTAATTGTTGACATTTTGTGTAACATTTTATTTTTATGTTAAAATAAAATGTGCATTATTATTACGGGCGATTAATATGCCTGTACTTTCTAAACCATCTTTATTTATCTTTAGTTATTATTAATACGAAAGAATTATTTGATAAAATAATTAACAAGAAATCGTGCATACATAAATTAAGTTTGAAGCAGCGTCGACAAAATACAATTTGTAAGGTGAAAAAAAATTGGAATGCTCAAGTCGATGATATGCGAATCAAGTAACGAGCGATCTCTTATATTCTGTTCACAGTTGTGGAAATCATTGCCGAAAGCGCTTGGATAGATATCACGGAACCCTTAGTGTTCGACGTAGATCGCCCATTCTATTATCATATTCATTATAATGGGGAAGCATCGTTTATATCTTTATTCGAGGGCTATGTAAAAATACTGGAAGCATAAATATTACTTCGTAAAACATCTCCGATCTAAAATCACGAGTAAATTAACGAAAAATCTGCGATATCGAATAGCTGTTTGTTTTCGTTATGATTCTTGTACTGGCAGGATTTTTAAGTTTTAAATTTTTTCCGAAATATTATGAATTAGAGAAAAATTTAAACATTGTAATATTTATACAATCATAATATGTGCAATGTTTTTCGTTCACCAAAGAACATGCATGCGGCGAATCCACATACTTGTTTATTGCTTATATTTCAATTCTCCGCATAACTGCACAGTAGACATTAAAATAATTATTTGACAAAATAGTTGATAAGAAATTAAGATAGTTCATTTGAAGTGGCAACTAGCGGTTAAAGCATATATTTGTGACACGAAGTGAAGAAGTCTCGAATGAACAAACGAATATATAACGAGCAATCTTTTATATTCTGTTCACAGTTGTGGAACTTACGTTTGACAGTATGATAACTCCTCTTGAAGAACCTTTAGTGTTCGACGTAAATCGACCGTTTTATTATTATATTCGTCACAACGAAGGAACGTCGTTCGTATCTTTGTTCGAGGGTCGTGTAAACGTACCAGAAATGCAATAGATTTTGCTCCGTGGAAATTTGTTGAATCACAATACATACAGTGTATGTTATTCACATTTACGTATTTACATTCTGAAACGTCTTTTATGTAGTTATCTGATTACGAGAATTATTTAGCGATATAATCACTTGAATAAAGAGTTGAGACATTAATTTCGACAGGGCATACGTTCTTGACGTGCATGAAAGGTTTTGGCATGAAAAGTATAAAAGCAAATAAAAAAATACACAACGATTTCTTCCACATTCTGTTTACAGCTCTAACTATAAAGAAGTTAATTGCGAGATTTTTAAAATTCGAAGTAAATCAACCGTTTTATTATTATATTCGTCATAACGAGGAAGCTTCGTTCGTATCTTTGTTCGAGGGTCGTGTGAACGTACCAGAAATGTGACAGATTTATCTCCGTAAGTAAAAAATTACCGAATTAAAATAGCTGCCTACTTCTGTTTCTTTTATCGATTTTACCACGTATTATTCATTTTAAATATACACATTTGTGTATTTATTTTCTGAACGGCCTTTTTATGTAGCTAGATGATACGACAATCGTTTGGCAGTATATATAATTATTTGGAATAAAAAATTGGGATGTTAACTTCGGCAGAGCATACATTCGTGACATGTGTAAAAGCTTTAAATGAACAAGTAAATACTTAATGATTTTTTCATATTCTGTTTACAGCTCTATTTGGGGCTCTCAGCGCACAATTGAGCGAATCGTTAGAATTCGACGTAAATCGACCGTTTTATTATTATATTCGTCATAACGAGAGAACATCGTTCGTATCTTTGTTCGAGGGTCGTGTGAACGTACTAAAAATGCGATAGATTTTATTTCCGTGGAAATTTGCCAAATTAGAATATCTACATTTATCTGCTTCTGTTTTCTTAGATTTCCTTCCTATCGATTTCATCATTATTATACATTGTATTACATACAGTGTATGTTACTCACATTTGCGTATTTACGTTCTGAAACGTCTTTTATGTAGTTATCTGCTTACGAGAATTATTTAGCGGTATAATCATTTGAATAAAGAGTTCAGATACTAACTTCGGCAGAGCATACGTTTGTGACGTGCATGAAAGGTTTTGGCATGAAAAGTATAAAAGCAAATAAAAAAATACACAACGATTTTTTCCATATTCTGTTTACAGTTCTAACTATGAAGTTATCATATGTGGGATTTTTAAAATTCGATGTAAATCGACCGTTTTATTATTATATTCGTCATAACGAGGAAGCTTCGTTCGTATCTTTGTTCGAGGGTCGTGTGAACGTACCAGAAATGTAACAGATTTTTCTCCGTAAGTAAAAAATTGCCGAATTAGAATATTTACCCTCTTCTGTTTCTTTTATCGATTTTATCACGTGTTATTCATTTTAAATATATATACACAATTGTGTATTTATGTTCTGAACGGTCTTTTTATGTAGCTAGACAATATGACAATCATTTGGCAGTATATAATCATTTGGAATAAAAAATTGGGATGCTAACTTCGACAGAGCATACATCCGTGACGTGCGTAAAAAGCTTTAAATGAACAAGAATATACTTAATGATTTTTTTCATATTCTGTTTACAGCTGCAGGAATTGTTCCCGGCTCCATTATAATATCTATTATCAAATTAGAATTCAACGTAAATCGACCGTTTTATTATTATATTCGCCATAACGAAGGAATATCTCTGTTCGAAGGTCATGTGAACGTTCCAGAAATATAATAGATATTACTCCGTAAAAAAACTGCCGAATTAGAATATCTGAGAGAATGTTTAACGATTTTTTGATATTCTATTTTTGATATTCACAACTCTATTTGAGGCTCCCAGCGCAAAATTTAGCGAATCGTTAGAATTCGACGTAAATCGACCGTTTTATTATTATATTTGTCATAACGAGGGGACATCGTTTGTATCTTTGTTCGAAAGTCGTGTGAACATGTCAAAAGTGTAGTAAATATACTTTATGAAAAATATCGCCAATCTAGAAATTTAATTGTCGCTATTTGTAAGCTAAATCTTCAATATTGGTAAACTGTTCTTTTTATATAATTCTTGTGCTATAAAACATTTTTTACTCTTGTTCTTTTAGCTCTCGTTCGATTTAATTATGACAATGTAACTCTAAAATCTTAAATATTTTGATGTTAATTGCGTATTACTTAATTATTTTTATAATTTGTAATACTTAATTATCTAACTATAATAGAAATTATTTAGCGGCGAGAAACGCGTTTACATATATCGTCTTTTATGATTAAATAATTACAATAATCGTGCAAAATAAGTGATAAGAAATGATATTAAGCTTGAACCTTAAGTTTGACAATGCGTTATTTCTGATGTAGTTAAAAATAAGTCGATCGCTTGATGATTATTGTATTCAAAGCCTAACAATGAAACATCTTCTGTATCTTTATTCGAGGATCATGTAAATATACCAAAAATGTTAGGTAGAGAATCTCTTATCTAAAAATTTAATGTTTGATACATTAAAATTTTTATTATTAAATTCAAATAAAGAAGTTCCATATTAGCAAGCTATTCCTTTTTGTTATGATTATTGTTTTTTAGCTGAACGTACTTAGCACTTACTCAAGTTTTCATAATAATTCGATTTAAAAATCTCTTTCTTTCAACACTCCTGTAATCTTATCTTTCTTATTTTCAAATAACATGCATCAGCGATTAACGATGCCACTGTTTATCAGAAAATAACATGCATGTATATTTGCTTTTTAAATTATATATCTCTAAACGGTCACAAAAATTTTTTTGTAGAGTAATCGATAAAATATCGATAAAAAAAGGTATACATTAAAGTCGAAGCAACGACGATAATACGTTCATTAGGGAAAAATCTTAAACGATCAAGAATGCAAAACAAGCAGTTTTTTTTTTAATCTGTTTACAGCTGTGACATTTAAGATTATCGGGGGTCTTCCAGCTCCGTTCCACATAAATCGACCATTCTTTTATCAAATTCAGTATGAACCATTGAACAAATCTTTATTCACTGGCTACGTGAACACGCCAGGAATATAATAAATGGCATGTGGAAAAGATTACCACGTCTATTTTTCAATGCATCGTATGGCGAATTCGTTATACGAAATTAAAGAGATGGTTAATTTTTTATCCGAACAAAACAAAAGTGTTTCGAAAGTATTGATTATTTATATAAAAGATTATATTAACAATGCACATACCTATGAGTTCTTAATTTCTCTTTACTGAATGTCCTGCTTTTCTATCATCTATTCCGCTTTAAGCAGTTGTAGAAAGCACAATAATTAATGCATAAAGAATGACACAGGCAAAGCGTATATTCGTGTTTCGTGTGCAAGCGAAAAAGACTCGATGGAAGTTTCTTAGATAGTCTTATAACACAGTTTGCATTGTGTTTGCAGCTGTCCAGGTCATGCTAGTTTCTTTGATAATAGGACCGGAATTGGAATTTGACGTAAACCAGCCGTTCTACTATTACATTAAATCCAACTTGCCAAGCGTAACTTTATTCGAAGGCTATGTGACTGAGCCGAAGATTTAGACGTTTGATAATTGATCAGAATTGGCATGTCACAGTTAATACCTATGTCTTAAGTTATGCCGTAAACGTAGTTATGTTTTTGGTCTAAAGTGTGTATTGTGTTTATCCGCTAAACGCAGGTTTACTTTTACACTTGCATACATAGTATGTACAATGCTCGCAATGAAGATAATTATTTAACATTATTATCATTTATTATATTATCAACCGAACGTCGAACGGTCGGTTTCATCGGATGTGCGATAAATTTGATGATTTTCAAATATTATATAATAATAGAAAGTCAAAGAATAATAGAAGTCAAAGATGAGTCACATCCGATCTTTTTTTTTTATAAAATGTGAAAATTGAATTTTAAATACCATTTTAAAAATCCAATTTTAAAAATCCAAGAAGTTGTTTTAAGCCGAAGCTATAATCTGTTTCTTATGATTCGATTTTTCTTTATAGCTACGTTTGATTTATT